GAAAGAGGATGAGGGAAGATTGAAGAATACCGGACCACTCGTATACATTATCGCGCGAGAATGTGGGGTGGGTGGTTGGGGTGGAGGAGGGGGTGGGGGCTTCAGGGGGGTGTCCCCCCTGACAAAATATAAGTAGCCTAGATCTACCGGTCCGAGATACCCGAGATTCTCCATTGAGAGAGATAAAAACTTGGGAAAATCAGGAATTCCTAAGGTTGAGACATATGCAAAGTCAGTCCGCTGGTCCGGTATTCTTCAATCTTACCGAGGATGAAGTGTCATATATACCTGAAAAGATCCAGGGAATAAAAGTCCTACGGCAACAACCAACTGTATTATGAACGTAATTGTAATGGTGGTCGCCATTTTCTCAATCATGTGACTTTGGCTTCTTTGCGGCAAGTATCAAAAGATTCTTCGAGTTATGGAGAGCTCAGAAATTAAAAGGATAGGGGAGCTAATCAGAAGCCAATCTGCCAGAACAGCATTAGAGGCCTACCTTCTGTGTGTTCGTTCTTTCTTAGAGCTGGGGAAGGCAGCAACCACAAACTGTGAGTGATACATTAAACAAAAGCCCCCTTTGTCCCCCCCCCTTTTGTTGTACATATGCCGAAGAAAATAGATATATTTTCCCTGCAAATTGAATTTCATAAAAGTCAAGTTTCGCCGCTACCAGTCAGTCAGTGATCAATACGATTCTCATTCTTCTGTTTGTTTTGGCCTTTGGCGGTTGAAGATCCCTGATCACCAACTGAACATCGTATGTCTGACGAAACGAGCGAGTATCTAAATCTAGATCTATGAAAGGAAAGGAGAAAAAGAACAAGAGTAGATCTAGCTTCTAAAATCTAGTGATTGTGAGTCTTTGATTTTTTTCTATGAAAACAATTGCTTGTCTTAGAGACTTCACAGTGCATGCATGATACCAAATTCTATTGACTTTTAGACGTCTTAGACGACTTCTAAAAGGCCTAGAGTTTCGATACCAGCACGTCCTATTACTAGAATCTAGAGGGATATCTATTTCTAGAGATATCTAGATTCTAGACTTAATGTAGAATCTTATAGAGATCTATGGAACAAATTTATTAGATCTGTTTTCATGTGTTGTCTTCAGGGCGAGCTGGCCTCGAGACTGGTGGTAGACTTCAGTTTTTGGCTCGTTGAGCCATTTACCAGAGGTTGACAACCGAGGAGGTAAGAATGAAAGAGATACTAGACCTGTAGATCTAGGCCTTGGTCACTTAGTAGGCCTACATTTGAAATACAGTAGTTTCCGCCTAAGGTCCCGGTGCTCGGGAGCAAGGAAAATATGGGATTGGAAGGCAAACCGGGATCTTTGCTGAATGGCCAGGGGGAAGAATCCATAGTCATGCCTGAAATCTGTACAATGATCTTCCCTTACTTTAGAATGAACTGACGTGACTCCTGGACTCTAAAAGTTCTTTTCAATTTACCGAATTTTAGTATTTTAGCATTTTAAAGTCTTATTGTCGACCATCCGTGCAGTGAACTGTTGCGAATGCTACCAACTTGTGTTTCGTGCGCTCATATGACCTATGCAGTTGCGAGCGCCGTAAAACCCTATACTATACAAGTCAATTTTTTTCCTTTTTTTTTTATTTCGGGGGGGGGTAAAAATACTGTGTCAGATGGGAACCGGTTGGCTTCAAGCAATGCCCCACATAAAAAATGTATTGCTTTCCATCTCTTATATGGAGTTCCCCGCCCTTGTCATGGTGCATCATAAATCGTTGTGTTGTCACCAACCCGACCAAATTTTAAAAAAATGAAAGGCAGGTTCACTGCCAACAAATGATCCCATTACGCAGAGGCGATCGGACAGTCCAGGAGTATGGGCGCCAATCTGTCTAGGAAGTTTGAGTGCAAAACTGAAAGACGACAGCGATGGTCGGGAGAACATAAGCGCCTACACGTTCACAGTTTGATAGAATGCAGTCTGATGCTTGCTTGTAGACCCTCCCTACCTAGTGTGTGATGTAAGATCAGGCGGGCGGCTCAGGTGATCGGAGAAAGCAAGGCATTGACGAGTTCACACCTCAGTGCGATCCTATCTGGGGCAAACATTTTAACCGCTTTTTATGGGGATTTACGACAGAGGCGTGATCGCATTCATGAGAGAGAATGATCCGTGACGCGACAGACCGTACAATGATCGCTCATTTTAGCTACTAGGTTGATCAGCTGAGGGCGCCCAGGTTTCTTATTCTTTCCTTTTTTTCCTTAAATAAAGGAAAATATAACTAAATTATGACCTAAAAAGCGGGATCTTAACCGAATGTAGCTCCTTCAGTGCGGGATCTTGGGGTGACTTTTAAATATATATATATATATAGTAAAAATTCTGTTTTTCCGAAACAGCAGGATCTTAGGTGAACCGGGACCATAAGCGGTGGGATCTTAGGCGGAGACTACTGTATTCCCTTAGGTGTATCTTCAAAGTCTGGACACTATTCCTAATTCTATTATTAGGATGCTGAATCGTTAAGTCAGTATTGCATCCGTTTCAAAATTCAAAGGTTTCAATTTGAAAATGGTTTTTGATCTCCTTACAGGAGGTGTAGTAAGGCCTAGATCTCTCTAATCTGTGTCAAGGAGGGAAGTTAGTCCGATACATTATAATTCATTAAAATAACATAGTCTCCTCTGGAGGAACCTGAATGTTTTTGTGGGCCCAACCCAGGCATGACATGGGGGAGTTTATTTTTCACTTTACTTGTTGGCTCCATCGTTTGGCATCCCACAGACTGGACATAGATATAGCATTTATTTTATTTTATTTTTAAAGTATGTCTGCAAGAGGATGTTCTCCGTTGATCTCAACAGGAGGGAGAATTCCTTAGCCAGAAAATTGGCCTGCTCATCTCCCCGGATGCCTACACCTATGACTTGGTAGCCATGCAAACACAATTTTTGGTCAGGGCCACGAGCAATATCTACTTAAGTCTGTTCCGGTACTTTTCTTGTCAAAGACAAAAAATTAGTTTTTGTTGTGTTGTTCCTTTCAAGAATAATGAAAAAGCAAGAAAATTGTAAGCCCTGGCCATAGCATTAAACTGCATTTTGGTGATGTTGAAAGGTGCATCTTTGATAGAACTTTGAGAGGATGTTGAAAATTTTCAAAATTTTGACCTAAGTGGATTGTTTGCGGCAACGACGATATAGATCTCATCTATTTCATGATTATAATTCTAAAGTACTCTTGATTTCAGGTTTTCAAAGTATCAAAGATGGCAGATTTGAATGCTGAAAAAGAGTGTGTTGTCATTGAGGATGGTGAGTGGAATGTCAAGCATTTTAAAATGAAAATGAATTTTTACCTTTTGGTGTCTTCGTAATTTTTATAATTTTTATCGGTGCGCTGTCGACCGAGTGAATAATCACCCACAAAACATTCTAATTTTTCTTCCAGTTTTTGTTCCATCCATTACATTAAAATAACTGTTATAGAGTAAAGTGTTGTCCCATACATTTTGTTTTGTTGCTAAGCCTCCCTATTTTCCACTGTGCTCTCTCTCTTCCCTTATTCAATTATTACCGCTTTGCTTGGCTTGAGCCTTACGAGTGTAAACCTTTACAAAAATATCACACACGCAGGTGCAGTGGTTGGCAGATTTTAAGATTATTTCTTATTAGATGACTCGTCGGTTTATGATGATGATGTACTGGTGATTACGTTCTTCCAGTTATTTAGGTAAGAAACAGATGATTGATTGTTGATCCGTCTGCCTTCTTTAAGGTATTCTTATGAGATTGTCAAAGTACATCGTTGTCGAAATCTTCTACTTTTGATCTATTTTGCATCCTTTTGATCTTAGCCTTGTATTTAAATTTATGTATATATGCTTTATATGCACACATATTTGTTTTAACGTTGCAACTGGTTTAACGAATTCTGAAAAATGCTCTGAATTCTTGTTTCAGCTGAAGACAATGAAGATCAGCCTGGGCCCCCTCGTGCAAAGTTTAAACCGTCTGCCTGTTCTTATGAGGCCAATTGGTTCAATGAGCCTTATGAGCAGCCAACAAAGCAAGTGATCAATTGCGAAATTCCACAAGAATACATCCAGAAGTTTCAAGATCTAATTTGGAATCATCCGCACGATAGAATGGTGCCTGGATATGGTTTGTATTCATTTTGTTTCACTTTAAAGACAATGTCATGTCGTTCTGTTTTGTCCTTCACCTGCCCTATAAAGAGAAGTGTGACAACAACTCCTATGACTGGTCAGTACGGTCTTATATCTGCTGTACCAGAATCCTATCCAAGAGAGAAATCTGTCATGACAGAATCTCCCCTTTATCCTTTGATAAATTCCTCTACGAAGAAGTAAAGTTTCACAATCCAGAAATGGACAGAGAAATTCATTCTTCTTCGGACTGTTTTGACTTGTCAAAGGTAGAAAATGGTTTGCCCTCTCAGCCCTGATTTGAAACAAAGCTCAACGTAGTCTGATTCCACCAGCTCCAACTTTCCTTCAGTGGAGTGAGTGGAAAATTGCCTTTTTCCATGAGGATAACCTTTTTTGTTCTTATGTTTTTAAGGCAAAAATAGGGATATTGAAAATCCGAAAATGATTGTACTTGTTCTCACAAGAATTCCATCGTTTCAGAAATTTATCAGATAGGTGGTAGCAAGGAGAATCGTCCAATTTTTTTGTACGGTAGAGTTTGCTTAAACTGAACAGTCAGTTTGAAAAAAGAAAAAGAAATTCCTGACTTTTGAAAAATATTCGAGCAACCTCTCTAAATCGAAAACTCAGCTAAACCAAAGAAAATGTGACAGTCACACAGATTCCAGTTTAAGCAGTTTTAAAGTAATTGATGAAGATGCGTTTTATTGATGTTTGCTGATTCCATAATTTTTTTTTTCCTTCAGGAATGACTCCTAAAGAACTGGCTTGTGTGTCCTCTGATGGTAGGAAAGGCTGGTTGGTCACATCTCACTTCTACTGGCTGTCCCGATGTCTGAACCAGCAGCAGCGCCACACTCGCTGTTTTGTTTTGGATCCCTCTGTCCGAAAAGAGGCCATCAGCAAAAACTTCAGTTCGACATCACCAAGGGAAATTGAGAGGATCATATTTGTGATGAGTGTTGGGCGACAGGATGACGGAGTCGTGTTCTTTGGAACAGACATCATGCAGGGAGAACACTGGTCCGTAGCGATTGTCGATGCCAAAACAGGAGATGTGTATTATTGTGATACCTTGGGCTGGCCGGCACCAGAGAATTTTTTGTCATGTATTCTGAACTATACCAGGCATTTAGGATTCAAACGGACCAACGAGATGAAAATTATCATGGCTCACGAACAAAACCTTGAGCAGCATGTCTGTTCTCAAAACTGCACCAACTACCCGCTACAAACCTGCTCTGATGTGTGTGGTGTCATTGCTATGGTATGTATTGCTGTAGCAGCGCTAGACAGGAAGTTATTTGCTCTTTTGATGAACCCGTTAGACGAAAGAATCACTCTGTATCTCACCAATCCCACTGATTACTCGTCTTATCTCCGGCGTGTCATCATCTGCTGGCTGGCAAGCTCCCATATTGACATCAGGAGGATCAGCCTGAGACCAGACTTTCAGCCCTACCCTTCGCCCAGTAGTTTGGCTCAGACCCAGACGACCGGCTACAAGAGGAAGTACATAGAGTCTGTCAATGGGGAGGGATGTAGCAGTTCTAAAAAAGGTTCCAAATCCACAGACAATGTCAATGATTACTTGAAAGAGAACTTGTGTTCGCGGAGTAATGCTGTGCAGTTTGTCAAAGAAATGACACAGATGTTCCCCAGAGCTAAAGGAGCAGCTGAAGTACGGAAAAGGAAGAAGGAATTCTTTGATCATTTTGTATTCAACAGCTCTTTTCTCAGAGACAAAGATGATGCTCACAGTACAAATTCATATGTCAGAGAACTACTGAAGTTCCCAGAGTTAAATCCAGTCATATTTTTCAAAGGTTCGGGAAAGGAATCTCCAATTCTGAAAGAAGATGACGTGGCCATTGGTATTCAAACACGCTTTCAGAGAGAAATCATGAAACTTTATGGTAGAAAGTGTATCTGTGTGGAAGTGATTAGAAAGTCCGAATTGTATGGATTCAATGTCATCACAGTCTCTGTGGTGTATGAGGGCACTCACGAAGTCCCGTGTGCTTGGTTAATTTCGAACAGAAACGACAGTCAGCTGTACAAACTTTTCTTCCAGGCCTTGAAGTCAAAAATAGGTGACTTGAAGACGGAAATTTTCATAGGTGACATGGGATTCAGCTTTTTCAAAACTTGGATTCAGGTCTTCACGAAGCCTGACAAAAAAATGTTCTGCACCTGGGAGGTGATGCGGGTTTTGAATAGTCGAATGGAAAACTTCATACACAATGAAAAACATCGAGAGGAAGTGAGGGAATGCATCAGTGTTCTCCCATCCATCGTTGATGTAGATTTGTTCAAGAAATACGCTGGGTGTATACTTCAGGTCATCAGACCCTGCTCTGAAGAATTCCACGACTACATGAAAACAAAGTTTGTCGATGATTCTAAAGACGCCTACTGGGCCAGCTGTCACAGGGTCAAAGGGTCGGCCCCCTTCATTCCTTTTTTACTTCCCTTTAGTCATACTTTGGAGGCCGTCGACTTCCACAGTAAAGTCAGCATTGACCGGATGGACACGTTTATCCACAAATTCTTGCAGCTGATCAAATACTACGAGACCAAGCTTCAGATCGAGACTAGTCAAGAAAAGCTAGCGAGAGCTTGCCGGGACATGTCTTTCAAGCATCAGCAGCCCCTTCACAACTGTGATATCTACCAGTCAGCCACCGAGGAGGAATTCTACATTCCTGCCACAGAGGACAGCAACAGCTGCAGCATTGTGGAGTCAGGGCTGGAGGAAGGGGCTTGCCGCGTGGTATGTGAGAAGTGCAAGATTTGTGTACACCACTATGTGTGCACCTGCCCGCAGTACCTCTTAGTTCCGGGTGGCTGCAGTCACATACATTTTGTGCACACCTTTAAAAAGATGAACAAAGCTATGGGCAACAACAGTTTTGCTGATTCAGAAACATCGTCGGCAGTTCCCCAGGATGGAGAGAATGGTATAGGAGGTCTGAAAGGAGACGTGTTGAAAGATCTTGGTTCTCTCAGGGACAAGGTGAAGCAGTGTGACAGTCCAGAAGTTCTAGAAAGTCTCCATAAAGCATTAAAGGGTCAACTAAAAGATGGCGACTGAGCTTGTTTGTGCCAGTGACAGTGTACGTCTGTGTAGATAACTCTTGTAAGTAAGTATGTTTGTAAAAAAAGAACCTTGTGGAAAGTTGAACTGCTGTGTTCAATGGTGTTTTCAAATTGTGTTCTTCCCCTTCCTGCATTTGCATTTTTATTTGGTGGTTTTGTCGAGATTTTAGTGTGCATCATTCTGAAAGAAAAATGTATGCATGTTTATCTTGTAGACATGTCCTGTTTGATGGAAGAGAAGAATTTTCTCATTGATAAAATCTGCTCATTGTCTTTAAGTTGTTCTTGATCTTTAGAAAAAAAATGCACCCATCGCTGTAGAGGAGTATCGGTAAGCCTGGATTTGAATTATATTCATGTCAAAAGATGTGTCATAAGTATCATACTGCTGTTTTGCTTTGTGCATGTTTCTTCCTGGGCTGTGTGTGATCAAACAAGACAATGGTACCAACAGTAATAATAATAAATAGCATTTGTATAGCGCATATCCCCGCTCAACAGCAGGCTCTATGCGCTCACAAAGAGATTAGCAGTTAGCTTTTCTAATTATTAACGAAACTAAAACTTCTTGATCTTGTCATTAATGCAAATTGAATTCCCGGGTTTTCATTGCTTGCCAAAATGTGTACACATTTTCTTTCTTCTCAAGTTGTGCTGCCACAAGTATGAGCAGATTTTTTTCTTAAAATGTGACATAATTTGTTTTAATCACTTGACTTGACATGTGGACAGTGTTACTGGTTTTGGTTGGGTGTCAGGGAAGATATAAAACAGGCCAAGGTTTTTTAAAAACTTGTACTTGTTTTTTTGCTTCGTCAGCACTTTTAAAAATTAAGTGAGTAAATACAAAACGTGCATCCAGTGATTAGACAAGATGTGTGTGAATCAGTGTCATATTTGAGATTAGTGTCAGAATAAAGCTTGGGTCATATGTCAGTAGTTGGGGTGGGACGTGGGTGTTAGACTTTATTTAATTGTTTTTAAAAAATTGTTATTGAGACTAAACTCATCTGCCTACTTGTTATTAAAATGTTCTAGATTTATAGCGTAAAGAAATGTTATTAGTTCACAGTAAATAGATGTTGAACATACTTATCTGATAGGAAGCATGCTGGTCTTGTCCAAACTTCTGTATGTGGGTGGTTGGCGGGTGCTCTGGTGTAGTTTGCTTCTTCTTTCCTCTATGGAACATCTATCGTCCTTATCTCCCCTCCTTTTTTATGTTTGTTACTCTCTTGTAACACCTCTAATCTTCTGGCGCTCATATGACCTTATGCAGTTGCGAGCGCCGTAAAACCTCTACTAAATCAAACAAAAACTTTTGTATACATCCGTGCCCATGACCATTTCATAAAAGTATTTTAGATATATGGCAGGTGATTTTTTTTGTTATCACTGCCACTTTAACTTGGTAACCTTTAGACTGAAATTTATGTTGTCCCATCAGGTTATGGAAAGCCCATAGAACATTTTGCCAGGCTGCAAATGTCATATAATATACAGTCTAGCATGCACCCAGTAAATATACACACATAGTAAACAGATTTCCAGGTCCCAAATTTTTTCATATAATTTATTATGTTCTTTGTATTTAAAACACGTACATAGCAAAATTCGTGCACAACAGAAAGATTTTTGTACTCCTCTGATTTCGCTATGCGCATGCTAAACTGTACGTGAGAAAGGTGTTGAGATATGTATCCTTTTTCTTTTACCAGGAATAACTAGTCCAAATTTATTAAACATCTGAGATGTTGGTCGTTTTGTAGTTAAACCTTCCACCTTGTACTTGCAACTTTTTGCAGGTTGGCAGTGAAGATATTGACAGGGTTCAGTATTTTTAGCTTTTGCTAATAATTCCACCTCGGACTGTAGTCATCGAAATATGTGTATATATGTAGTTTTCAGTACATGTATGTAAGTTGACAGGCTTAACTCACCCAGCCCTAAGGCCGACAGTATCGGTGTATGGAAAATTTCACTCTCGTGACCGAAAACACTACTTTTGTGTGAAGCAGACTATAGCCTTATTTGATGGGTAACCATTTTTCGTTTGAAACAGACTATGGACCAGAAGTGCAAGCCCAAATTTAGAACAAAGAAACCTATAATATTCGTGAACCATGTGAGGGGGTGCAAAATTTGAACACACTGCCTTTCTTCACTTTTTGTTTACTTTTTGGCTCTGTAGAGACCTTTTTCCACGGAGTATTGCAAAAAAATTCCTACATATTTTGTCTCCAAATTTAAAATACACACAAATAAAGGTTTGAATAAAGTGTTTACCAAATTTGGGTTGGATATGTTAAGATTTAGTATTTTTTCCAATTTTTCGAATAGTGGTAAAAATCTCAAGGGAAAGCTGACAACCCTGAAGTGTAGGCCTAGGGTTGAGTGAGTTCATGTATTAAGTTGGTGATCCTCCATAACTGTTGTATACGTTGTTTGTTGTTGCTTGTTTTGACACAAGGGATGGGAGTTGGATGGAGGGAGTGGAAGAAAGGGGAGTCCTGACTACTCTAATCCCTGCCTTGTGAAAGGGCTTGGTGCTGTCTGTTCATTTGGCTCTTCGTATTGTTGGTTTTCACATTTTTAAAAACTTAAGTCAATGTGCTGCGTGATTTGATTTTATTACATTGTCATTATAATTGTAAACTGTCCATGCTTTTTCGAGACTGGTTACGATGCAAATAAAAACCTTAAGAGTGAAAATGGCATTGCTGTATAACTTACGGAGTCTAAAAGGTGAGATGGCATTTTGTGGATTAGTATGAAAGAAAGTAAATATTGTAAATTACTTTTATTGGGAGTGATGTACATTTGTATGTATTATTATTGCTCTGCATCAGGTTTTGTATGCATGTTTAGTTATGTTAATAACCCCTTGCTACATAATGTATGGGTTTTGATGAGTAGGATTTATGAAAAAGTTTTGTTTTTTTTCCTAATGGGGGCATTAAAAGTACATTTTTGTACTGGTATAAACTCTCCAGATAACTTTCCTTTAGTCGCCAACACAACCAGGCACACTAAACATATAATCAACGAATGGATGCATTGCACGGATTGACCACAGAAAGTCACCTTATAAAAAATATGATAGCTGAATGTTTGATGAACCTCTATGAATTTTTAAAGTGTGTTTCTTGGGCTGCCAAGGTTTGTTTGTTTTTTTATTTTTTAAAAATTATACCACGACTGCAACGTTTTAAATTGATACTTGAGGGTGTTTCACTATATGAGCCTGCAGTATTGCAAGTGTTAAGTACATCCCTGCCTAGATTTGAATGAATGTGTGTTCCCTGCACAACTGTCAAATTTTTGACAATCTCAGATATCATGTGTGCCTCCTTGTCAAAGTCTAGGCAAGTCTTGTGAGTCAACTCTTTACTTAGTCTGGTGTTTTAGTTTTTCAACATTATTTTGTAGAATTAGGTGTTCTCAAGTTGTTTTTTTACTTTGATTTCTTTTTAATGTGTTCTCCGTACTCGTGTTGGTAGTATGTATAATATAAAGATCTGTTTCAGATACAAAAAGTTGTCACTTTGAGTTGTGCTTGTGTAATTAACAATATACGGTATGTAGATGTTTTTTTACGGGTGATTGGAGAGCAACATAATACATGTGTGTGTAAGCCTTACTTTTCTTTCCTTCTGTTATTTTTGTCTGTTGGTCATGCTCTTTCCCTGCATTGTATGGCCGGTTTGTCATGTTTAAATGCTTCTATACTTATACTAAAACTGGACATGTTTTGTTTACTATAAAATTAAACCCAAATGTGCTAGTGTCAGAGAATGTTGGTTGAGATGGAGGTACAAGTACAATGTACAAATAGATATATTTCTGATCAATTTTTTTTTTCATTTTTCTATTTCTTTTCTCTGTTACGTACCTTTCATGATTTACATATTTGTACCAGTACCTGTACTTGTAGGTGTGCTCTGATGGTGAACACTGTTTGTGAAATTATTAAATTTTATCTTATTGTTTGCATTTTATAAAGTTGTTGAAATTTCAGTGGAGATGTGAACAGTCAGAACAGAATGTTCATTGTGAAGTTATTTTTTCTAATGATTTCTTAGAGTCCTTGCTTGATTTTGTTGCTCTCCATGTTACTGGTTCATTTTCTCGTTAGTGTCATGGTTTTCAGGTGTCCCTCTGGCAGATGTGTGGTGACATAATAAATTACAAGCAGCTGAGAACTTATTTTGTTGTTGCGTGTTTTACCCGTATTTATAGTGGATCTTACTTAACTGTACTTAACACAAACTTTCTTATTCTTAGCCTTCATTTCTGCTTGTACAAACTACCTTAAGTCGCGAGGGAATGCTTTCATAAATCTGCATCATCAACATCAGCTTGCTTGAGTTGGAACTGTCGAGACCAGGGGTCTCAAAATCGCAGTCCGTGAACCAATTGAGGCTAGAGTGATAAAAATTTGCAGCCTGTACTTGACAACAAAGGCTGGCTACCGGTACACTATAAATATTTGTCTGATAAGTGCCTTTATGCCGAGGTGTTGCCCTGTATTTTTATATTTTCTTATACCTATGGGGCTGTTAACAAATTTTTAATAGTATACATGATTTCAAAGTTGTACTTTTTAAAATGCTTGAAAGTTTTTTTAAAACTTGATGCGGCCCAAGCTCACCACTGTCATCAGCAGCCCCTGAGTAATTTGAATTTGAAACCCGTGGTATAGACAGTCTAGATAACACATTTTCCAGTTCTGGTCTCCTCATGCTACATACTGAATGTGGGTGGTTGGCAGGTGCTGTGGTGTGGTTGGCTTCTATCGTATCAAACATCTATCATCTTTATCTCCCCTCCTTCATTTTTGTGTTTGTTACTCTCTTGTAACACCTCTAATCTTCGGCACTTATATGACCTTATTGTTTTGCAAGTGGCGTAAAACTTTTACCTAAAAAAACCCACACAAAAAGCATACTGGATAGAAACGAATTATCACTCACTCTTGGTTGAAAGGTGCATGCCACTGGCTGCTTCTTCTTCTTTATTATCTCTTTGCAGATCTTCTGTCTGTCCAGCTATTTCCCTTCTCTTCTCTAAGTCATCATTATGGTGTGGATGTGCTTCTCATAAAATTGAAACTGGACTTGCACATTTTCACCAATTCCTTCCACCTTCAGTGCTTGTGGTCGTTCCTACAAAATGCTCTAACTTTAACAGTGTTAAATTAGAGAGCATGGTCAAATAAGTGGCCTCTGGTTACGAATGGTCCAGAAGCTAGTCTTTTGCACACACACAATTCTGAGTGAGCAAGCATGCTTTTTTCCCCCCGGTGTTTTACGGCACTCGTTTAACTGCATAAGGTCATATGAGCAAATAACATTTTCAGTTGGTAAGAAATTTTGAATTTTACCTGGGTGGAGGCCAAAGCCTACTCTTATCGATTTATGGACCACCAAGGAATCTCTAATGTGCGCAACTTGCACACTGGATCTCCGAGATTTTTCGCCCTTGTCCGAGAAGGCTAGGTATAGATCTTTCCTACCATTAGGCCATAAGATCAGGAGTGTGGCTGAAAGACAGCAGTAAGAAGGAGCCAAGGAGTAGCAGTAGAAAGGCTGCAGAAAGAGTCGGGAGCCCAGAGGAGGGGGCAAAGGAATTGAGGGGGTGGGGGCAGAAAGTAAAATGGAGACGAAAGCAGTCGACAGAACGTTAGAGTTAGAGAGCAGGAAAGGATGTGAAAAAAGAAACTATCCAGATTCGAACCCGGGACCTATTGAATGAGAGGCTAACACCTTAACCTCTAAACCACAAGAGCCCACAGCTTGCTCTTCTTCTCTGTAGTCCTATTGGAGGATGTTAAAAATTCAGAGGTCCTTCATCTTGAATTGAAATAAACTTACAGTGCTGCAAGAGGCATAAAACCTATACAATTACGCTCTTCTTCGAGCTTCTGTGGCCTGTCCCACCCACAGTAGGAGGAATGGGGGATAAAGAAACTATTTAAATTTAAATTAAAAACATTTTTTAATCCCCCACAAACTGGACGTGTAAATTACAGTGTGATGGAATCCAAACAAGTATTTTCGACAAGAGAGGTAAGCACCTTACTTCTAGTCTGACAGTTGAACAAAGTTTGCTTTTCCAAATTGTTAAAATCAGTAAAAGACAAACTCAAATATCATTGAATGTAACATTTATTTTAAACTAATTCTTGTGCAAGAATTAATTCGACATCATTGCAGAACTGGACAGCAAAAGGTAGTTAGGTAGATGGCACTGCCAGAGCCCATAGACAGTAACATACAGTATACAGCTTATTGTAACTGCTCTTGGCTATGCTGACAGAAGAAAGAATACTAATCCAGTGTACCAGAGTCCAGGCTAACATTAACAATATGTGGGTTGAATAACGCTCTACATAAATGAATGAAGTACAGAAAAGTCCAGTGGGAAATCAGTTACCCTAGTACATGTACCTACAAACTGAAAGTAAACTTAGCTCATACAGTACAAAGCATAAAGGCTCCAGTGGCAGGCGCCTGGACTATACAAAGAGAAAGAGAAGAACCACCACAATACATTCAGTAATAATAACCAAAATACAAGGGGGGGGGGGGGGGTGAGTCTTGTTTTTATGCAATCAATAAGATTAGGTATTGTAAGAGCCGAAGATTAGAGGTGTTGCAAGAGAGTAACAAACATTAATAAAGAAGGAGAGACAAGAAGATAGATGTTTGAGGAAAAAGAGCTAACCACATCAGAGCATCCATCAACCACCCTGTTGTTATATATATTACAATGTTTGGGACAAAGCATGAAAATGACATTAGACAGAAATAACACACACAGAAGAAGCAGGACCTCCTCCAACACTCTCCAAACAAAGATTGTGTGGTCCCAGTCAGCACGTTGCAGTGTTACAAGTTGTAGGATAGGATGACGCTCCACCACCACATCCTCTAACCTTTTTTTTTTTCGTAAGAGTTTTACGGCACTTTCAACACAATTAGGTCATATATATAAAAGTATAAGTGCCGAATATTAGAGGTTTTACAAGGGAGTAACAAACACAATAAAGAAGGAGGGGAGATAACGAAGATAGATATATGATAGGATTAATAGGAAAGAAGAAGCAAACCACACCAGAGCACCCGCAAACCACCCAACCCTCTAAACTTTACCCATGAGAAAAGTTAAATTATGCAAACATTGAGACTAACAAAAATTAGTAATCATAGAAAGTATAGAGGCATCATAAATAATGGGAAACAAGCCAAATTTATTTTTATATTTAAACCACTAGCAGAATTGGAAACTTCTTCAGTTCAAAAGTACCATAACGAAGAATGAAAAAGTTACTTTTGAGACAGGTTTTCTTGCTATCTTCTCATCCACATAACTGTGACACAGACAAACACATCAGCTCAATAAATTAAACACTACTAACAAAGAACAGTGAAAAGGAAAGACAGAAACTGCTTAGTTTAGTTTCAGTAGAAGTTTTACGGAGCTCGCAACTGCATAAGGTCATATGAGTATGAGCACCAGAAGATTAGAGGTGTTACAAGAGAGTAACAAACATAAAAAAGAAAAAGGAGGGGAGATAAGGACGATAGATGTTTGATAGGAAAAAAGTAGCTGCAAAAAGTTGTTTTTTTCATAAAGGCGTAAAAAAAGCAAAGGACACAAATTGCAGACATAAATTCAAACATAAAAGCTACATCACAAGTAACAAAATATAGCTGATATTTACGTGTAATAGAAATATTTAAAAGTGTTCAGAATTAAGCCGATTAATTCATAGCTTGAACTTGAATTTATACAAGAGCTTGCATTTATTTTATTCCCTTTGAATTTTCAATAACCTTGGGAGGCATTTCAACAAATCTGTTCAGGGACAGTTACACAGAAACACCATTATCTCTAGAACAGCTCTGAATTATAACCTCTTTTAATAAAATTGCTGGACACTTGAGTTCACGTGAACAGAATAAAAGTCTTAGCACTTGTAACAGTACAGCCAAAAGGAACATGTAGCCAATCATCTTTTCTGTCTTTGTTTCCCCTGTAGATGCTGTGTGAGCATAACACTTTGCAGTCACACAGCCAGCAGTACAAAATACCCCATCTGGTCACCCAGCCACGAGAGTGACTGCAACAGACTTCTCGGGCCTGGTGCAGAACTGCGCCAGGTGACCGGAACGGATAATTTTCACAGTCGCATTATTGCGCCAAGTGACCGCAAAGTGTTAGGCGGAATTGTACAGAAACCCAATCCCACATTTCTAAGTCACCATGAGCCGTTAGCCGGGGAATAACATTTTTCGCTATGGAACAACAAACATGAAAGCATTGTCTCTCTTTCTTTCATCAGGACATGTGAAGGCAGGCAGAAAGTGTAATAAAAAGGTCTTTCAGAATAGAAATGACCCACACCCAATACACTCACAACTTTCTTCTCCTAACAACCCCATTTTTAGTGGTGAATCCATGTTGTAGGCCTATAACAACGCAAACTCACAATAAACACCACTGTCTTTACTTAACAGTTATCATTACATAATTTCAAAGACCAATAGTATATACATATAACATTCTAAAAAGTCTGTCCAAGAATTACTCTTCGTCACATTATTTATGGCTTGTCGTGCTCTGAAATCTCCTCCTGACCGTATGAAGAAATTTGTCCAGATTATTGCTACAGTTGAGCTGATCGACAAGTTCCTCCAAGTCAGCGATGACAGGGTCGGATGAGGGAACTGAAGCAAAAACAGGCAAAACAAAATATGCGTGAAACAAAACTACACTTTTTTTTTTAAACATGGTTTATTAAACTTGCAAAATGTGCCTGACTTTAAATAATGTAAAAATGAAGTTCATAAAACACCCAATAGAAAATTGACACAAATAGCACAGAAAGACAAATTTTATATAAAGCGTATCAAATAAAATAAATGCAAAATAATACTCTTTCCTCAACAATAATCAGAACCAAATTTGTCTGCATGGGATGGACAAGAAGTAACAGCCCAATCTGACGAGGCTCAACATAGAAAAGATACATAGAAAACTGAGTTTGACAGACCTTAGACTTTTAAAAAATGAAAGGCTATCCTGCGCTATCATTTCTAAGAAAGACACAGACAAACAAAAGCCAGATAATAAAAGATTTAGAGACCAGGTCACATTTCCAAATTCAGTATCTCAAAACTCCCAATAATTTAGGCTGCAAGGCACATAAGATTCAAGCAAATATGTTTGAGAGTCGTTCAAGGTGAGTCAACATATTGGACACATTTCGGAATTGATTTTGAGCCAATAGAAACACTGGAAAGAAGTAGAAAAATCAAAGCCCAATAGAACATCAACAAACTCTTTGACAGTAACAAACCAAATAAGAAGAAAACCAAAAGAAATAAGTCTATCTGTGCTTACATTTCGGGTAATAATTAGCAACTTGCGTGATACGTTGGCTGAAAGAAGGCAAAGAAGACCCAAGCACCTGAAAATATGTCAAGAACTGCGCAGGAAATGATTAGAAGCTCAAATCACATCTGGCAGAACCAGTCTAACATACTTATCAAAATCAAAGTGTGTGTTTAGCTGGAGTCATTCACCTTTGTATTTGCGGTTTTCATCAAGGCCAAGGGAAAGTGTGTAAGGCAACTCTGGATTTCTGTCATCAATCTGAGTGAAAACAAACTGCAGATAGCCACCTGATGATAAAAGAGATCAAGAGGTTTAGACTAAAATCATTGAACAGCAGCCACCAGACAATAAAACTGACTTCTGATTTTAAATTCCAGCTGAAAACAATCATGTTGAAACAACTTAGACATCTCCCACTATATTAGTCAAAAGTAACACCTTTCAATAAACCTGGACAACATATTCCGCACTTTAGCCCTGAGGAAAGCAAAATCGTATACATAATATTATATATATGTTAATTTTGTCTTTAGATATATGCATTATGAAAGGTACATCAATTCTGACATATTTAGTTATCAAAATTACAAAAACCTCCCTTGAAACTGCTCTCAAGTTAATGAATCTTCAAATTATGAACAGCTTGATACTTGAATATCACTATACCTTTTATTTTGATTACATCCAAAGCAAGCTGCTTCCTGAACTGAGCATCTTCTTCCTCCAAACGTTTTGTTTTTTGCAGAGCATCCACAACAGGAGCTGGGGAAACAGGTCCAAAAGTCTCAATGTAAATTATAACAATAACATGTCGTCGCTAGTACAGCATTAAAAAAATCAAAGAGATAGCTACAATTTATTATATACCAGAATATGTCCTTACATATATATTCCAATCAATAATTCAAAGCACAAAAGGAATAAGCATGAGCAGTTAACATACGGGTTGGGGGTGAAGGTGAAGGAGGCGGCAATGGTATTGCCCCAAGATCCAATGTTTTGGGGGAATTTTTTTATGCCAAATGGTCAGTTTACCATGAAAATACTCACAGTAAAGGTAGTACAAACTTACAAATGTAATTTTCTTATTTCGCTACAATTTAGCACAGTGAGTGGTTAGTACCAAGCAAGTGAGGAGCTGTGCAAAGTTATGCAGGGAGTCTCTGAGGTACAGACAGCTGTGTGCTAACAAATTTGAGCCTTTTCCCTTTTATGGCAAATATAATAAATAATGTAATACAGCTCTATTCAACTCTATGCACATATATAATACTAGCTGGGCCCCCTTTCGATGAAAGGAATGATCGGTGCTTTCATATCAACTAAAAGTAATTGGCATACTATATTTACTCTCTGGAAGGGGGCAATAAATCTTGAGAGATGCAAAAAATTAGAAGGTCTAGATCTAAACTCTCAAAACAAAATGCGCCTCGCGAAATATCACGTCCGGGTTTTCTAAAATTACAGAGACAGAAACGTCAGCCTACAAAAGCGATCGCGAAATAAAGAAATTTAGCTTTTTGCAGCAAAACTGTCTCCAAACTGAAAAAACCAAGGGCGGCATGATCTGGAGAATATTTTAAAGAATATTTGGACAAAAACCGCACGTCGATCGATGCAGCCATTAAAAAGCCTTTTGAATAGCAAATTTCGGCCACCACAAATAGATAATAGATGTGAAGCATCATGATGAAATCAGGCGCTCGTCAAAATACTGAAATGGAAGAAATCTGCATTGTTCTGCCAGTTAGGACACTTTTCTCAAATTTTTGTTTTTCGGCTCAACACCTTTTATGTCCGGTTAAAAAACACATTTCTGAGCAGATTCTACTGAAAAACGCTGATTAAAGGCATAAAAATTGCATTTTTTCAGTTTCCAAGGACTCTCAAGCCTTGGAAGCCATCAAACTTTGGCAACGATTTTCTCGCCAATTTTACCTCTGAAGCCAAGCAACCTCCACATCCTTCAATCGCAAATATCTCGACTTTTATTTAAGATATTATATTGGGTTGTTTTTTTCCATCCAAGACAAGGCAAATGAACAAGCTTTAAGCTGATACCAATAACTCTACATACTCAAAAATTGACGAGTGCCTGGTTCCACTGCGTTGTGACACATAAAAAAACAAGACAAAGAGTTCTACATTTTTTTCATTACCAGAGCTTATGGATAGCTGCTCACAGAGCAATCATTGGTTTGCTTTTCTTTCCTATCTGAGCACAGTTTTGGCAGCCATATATATTCGGGTTTCAAAGGGGTTTTATTCTTCTCTATTCAGAATCACCTCATCTTTAAAATGGACTCATTTTAAAGTTTGCTTCGGACACCAGCATAGGCAGGACAGTATACATGCCCAAATTTGGCTACTGAAAGTCTTCTTGACGACAATACTACAATGTGAACTAAAGAACAATTTTGTGTTTTATCCACATTAAAAAAAAAATCTAGCTAATAGAAAAAACCTACATAAAGAAGTTCCATATCATACTTTTGAAGAAGGGACAACAATTTACAGAAATCCCAGGCACTAAAGAATAAACATGAACTTCTGAAGACAAAAAGGAAACCCTGTAACTGTAACATGTATATTATGCAACGCGATACCTTCTCTCAAATCCTGCTCTTCTTTTCTGAGGTGGGCAAGCTCATCTTCATACAGGGTTATCCGCTTTTCAGAAGCAGCTTTTTTAGTTGCTATAACTTCAACTTCTTCTTTTAAATCAGCTATTAAAATCTTTTGATCTTCAGAAGCTGGAATAGAAAAAAGAGAAAAATTTTAAGTCTTTATATACAGTATAATCCGCTTATATCGACATGCTTTGGGAAGTGGATTTGTGGTCGATATATCTATAAAAATGTCCATAAATGAAAATATAAAGTCAAAGATTAAAAACAAGGGGAGGTTAGCGTCAAAAATACAACACTACTTTTTAAACTTTAAGCTGGTTGCTTCCCTTGATTCTTACACAACTAAACAGTGAAACCAGAGAGAAACTTACAAGAGGCAGGGGGGGGGGTCGAGTTACGGTACAAAAGACCGAGCAACGCGAGGCTTGAAGCGAACACTACAAACCCGCGCAAACTTTGTTGTAGCATCTTTGTAAGGCCTGTTTATGGCCGCTTGCTGGGGAAAATAGAAAGGCCAGGCATTGGCTCACTGACCGTGGCACTTGCCAGCGACAGACTGAGAATGGGATGGGGAAGAGGAGTGAGCGATCGGGAGTAGGGGTAGGGAGGTGATACCCAGCGCGAGAGACGCTCACGTCTGTGAGGCACTGTACTGTGTTGGAGACTACACTGTGTAGGCCCTACATGACCTACTAAAGCCTGGTGTATCGAATAGGCTACTTGGCGGGTATGCAGACTTAATGAAGAACTAAAGCGTTGACCGTTAGCGTGGCTTTTTACTCCATTTATGTTCGTAGGCTTCGCCAGGTACCCAAGAATCATGTCGATAAAGTAGAGTCAGCCGGAAAAAAAGTCAATATAAGAGAAATTGTCTTGCGAAGATATTGAAGGAAAAATTTCATAATTGGAAAATATGTAGATGTCAAAATGTCGATATAAGTGGATTATACTGTACATTACATTATAAATATATCTAAAAACATAAAGCAGGCAGGCAGGCAAAAATATTCTTCAAAAGAAGAATTAATATTATTTTACAAAATATTCCACTACAAATATTCTGTAAGAAAGCTTTGTTCATTTTTTACTGCCTTCAAGTCCCGAATGGCTTTCAATATCATCACATTAATGTAATAAAAAAGAAATCATGTTTTTTCATGTTCCTCTGGAGAGGCTACAATGAATTTAATAATAAGTATAAGTGAAAAAGCTTTTCAATTAAAAACTTATTCTCAAAATTGTTGGCTGATAAATATGATTGAAAAAAAAAATCCCCTTTATAACCCAATGAAAAAAATTCATTTGAGCTAGTACAAAAAAGAATTGGCACACAGAATAGGACATTTCATCTCCACCCTCTCACCCCCGAACCAACTTAAAGATCGAATTCTTGTGTTTAGTACTCAAATGCATTTAAAGTCGAAAGTATCTTGCGATTCTTTTCAGTTTCAATATTTACGCTATTAAGTGGGAGTGGGTATAAAATCAAATTTCATATACAATATATCTACTCTCCATTTTATCAGTACCTTTTTCCTTGTTTTTCACTTTATCTTCAAAGGCTCTCTCAAGATCTGCAACTTTCCCTGTAAAATAAAATTATCATGTAGATTTATTATCATGAATTATATTGAAAATAGTTTACTAGAAAAAACAAATTCTGGGACAATAAAAGGATAAAAAAAGACGAAAAGGAGAGAAAGAAATATAATTGATATAATTGATTTTTCATTTTTGCTCAATACATGAGAAAACACAGCGGCATTGTTTTGTCACTATTGATGATATTGCTTTTGCTTGTATGTATGTGTGTTTCTGTGACAGGTTCTTTTTACGAGAGAGGATGATCAGATAGTGTTCAGTCTATTCACTAAAAATGTTGTTATATCAGCAGTCTACTCTCTGGCGCCAGTTGCCATGAATATACTACAGGAGCAAGAGCTGAGAACATAGTTTCTGTGCTTTTGTGGTAATATTACTTCTACATAACTTCAGACCACTTCTGACATCACTTTCAAGTTGCCATCTTCTCAATAAGCTATGTTCAGTGGAACTCCTGTGTCTCTCTTGGAACATTCCTTGATTCTACGAGGGGCATTTTTATTAACATTATTCACGTTAAGTAAAAGAAAAACAAATTGTCCACTTTATATTGCATAATTTTAAATGAATGACTAAAGAATACTATAGACATATTATTATATATATATATATATATATTATGTGTCATCAGATTTCATAATGTGCAAAATATTTTAAGGCTCCATTTAATTACCTTCCTGTCTTAAGTTAAATGTTTTACATAAAAGTACAAGATCAAATATTGTGAAAAAATTTTCAAAAGCAAATTTAATGCTGCAGTTATAACAGAAACTTACACTAAAACCCAAAAAGCATAAAATAGAGTCATAAATCATAAAAACAGAAAAATGGAAACTGCAAAAACTAATCTGCCTTTCATTTATTATATTATTTTCGAAACCATTGAGCATTATAAAATAAAAGCAATGCTTTGATATAAGTACAAGCACATTACTTACTTTCGAGGGCACATTTTTCTTCACGGTTAATGGTACTAGAGAGTATATCCTCAAATTCCGATGCCCACTGCGAAAGTCGATTTTGAGACTGCTGTAGCAAGGAAGACAAACTCTGCCAATTGTCCATCATTGCCTGGGAATGGGAAGAAGCCAAAGATTAAGTAATTACTTCATTAGTTTAAATCAGGAATTACTCTGGGAGAGCAATTAGAAATTATCTGAGACTACTATGGAAAATATAACAGATGGGTATTATAAAAAGTAAGGTTCAGGGCAGACAAATTCCAAAGGATTTACGATTGCGAGGTCAGAATTGCTGTATTGGGAGTATAAAGGCTTTCAACTTGAATACTTCTTTTACATTCGGTCTGAACAGTATCATCATCAGTATGAACAGAACAGGGAAAAACCTTTTACATAATATAACAACTTTATGTAGAGACACTACGAACATGGGGTAAATATCTTTTTCACAAGAAAAAAGTACAACTATGCAGTCAATAACATTTACACAACAAAGTGCTACACTCAGAAATGTATTATAGTACCAGAATAAGTTAGTTGAAAGACACTGTTTTGTAACAATGACAAACTCTGGTACACCTGAAGCAAGCTTAAACATTTTGTCTGATTTGAAACCACACTGTTCCAGTTCTCCACTAGATAAGAACCTGCTTGAAATCATACACACAGTAGTGAATGGTAACCACTTTTCTCTCTCACTCTCAGAGCTTCCAACCATCTCTAAATCAAAGCTAATCTTTCGTTCTTGTCATTTTATTTTTTTAAAATAATCTAACCTCTCTTTAAATACTACAATCAATACACGTTCTCTGTAGAAGGAGTAGAAGTGTTGTCATGAATGGTTATGTCAAGAGACAGGGGCTGGAGTACAACAAAATCAGATGGAGTGAGAGAGCCAAGTGAGAAACCTGAGCCCAGAGTGCTTTTTTTTAAATTGTTGATTTGATATCATGTAGTAACTTACAAAGAGAAGCCTTTATTACTTAAAATTTAGTTCTACATCAACAAACTGTTGTCACCACTACCATGACTGCAAACAAACCACCAGTCATCCAGAAAGAATTTATCAAGAAAGGATACAGACATTCTTGACTTATGAAAAATAAGATTGGAATAGTAGTGCCCATATGAAGCAACCCTGTAGTTCTCTAAGTTACATGACAGAAATTTTGACAATTCTAAAACTACAGTAGTCTCCGCCTAAGATTCTGGTGCTCGGAAAGCAAGGAAAATGCGACATCTTAGCTGACGCACCAAGGGAAGAACCTATGAGGACCCATGTTTAGGACCATAAACGGTAAAATGGTCTCCCTTCACTCAAAAATAAACTGACATGACCCCTGGGTAGGTTTACATCATGTATTACATATGGCCAGCAAAGAGTGACCAACCTTGATGACCAATCACAATGGTAAGGCATGCCATTTCCACTTATCATCCTATCGTGAGTCTCAAGATCTACGCTTATCCAGGCCTGACCAAGTTCCCCCACCTTTGTTGTTACGCATCATTACCTTGTGACTACACCAATTAAAATTCAGTCACTCTCGCAAATTCGGGAGTATCTAACTGCAACAATGGTCAGGGAACAGTTCACAGTTCGGTGTGATCCCGCCTGGAGCAAATTTGTAGGCCCTACCCACCCAGCCTATGATGTTAGTTTAGATGGAAAGCTAAGATGCCATGAAATACATGGGGAAAATAACGCGTCGGCCAGTTCACACCTCAGTGTAATCTTGTCAGGGGCAAATATTGTAGTTTCATCGAGTTTTACAACGCACACACCTGATCATAATATTCAAGAGAGTGGCTGACCTGTGATGCGATGGGCAGTTCAATGATCTCAACTTTTTACTCTTGGATGATCGGCTGTGCCCGCCAGGGTTTTTGTTCCGTAAATTATGATCTGAAATGCGGGATCTTAGCCGAATGTAGACTTTCAGAGTGAATCAGAGCGGGATCTTAGGGGCGACTTTTAGGTAATAAAAATTGTTTTCTTTAAACAGCGGGACATTAACAATAAAAACAAACCGGGATCATAAGCGATGGGATCTCAGGCGGAGATTACTGTTATAAGTAATATAAGGCCTACTTATCTAAGGTAGCTGAAACTGAACTATAACCTTGGCTCGTGAATCTTAAATTCTGACCCACAGGAGAAAAAGCAAACTAGTATACTGTGGACTAAAGACTGCTAGAATCCATACACAAACTCAGCTTACAGCATTTATTTACCAGCCCTTCTGGTTAAGTTCAAATTTTAGTTTTGTAAGTAAATCAATGCCTAGACAATTTTCTGGACTGAGCCTGGCTTGTTATACGTTGAAAAATACACAACAGACCCTCTGAAAAATTTGGAGTGGTGCACCAAGTTGCCAGTTAGACTTCAAGCTCAGTTTCAGAGATGAGCGGATCAGCGATGATACTGACAGCAGTTATTTGTACTGCCATCCCATAGCTTGATAGGGCCTATTTGTGATGTATAGTGTATAGCAGAGAGGTTCAATTCCTAATTGTTCTAACACATTTAAAAAAATACAAAATCAAGATTTGTACAAGGCAATGCAACCAGAAATCTATCAAGTTATCAAGGCTCAAGACTAAAATCTGACAGTAGTCTACACTTGGTAAGATTGAACTTTGGTGGACCCACCACCAAACGAAGCCAGAGAACTACTTTTGTGCCTCGTTGTGCGATGCCATACCAACTATTAATGTTCCTCGTCCACTTTTCTTTTCTTTTCTCTGTTCTCATATATATTATTGTTTTGCATAAAAACTTAAGTGTTTTTAAAAATTATTGTACTGTTGCCATACTGTCACTGTTGTGATCAAGCTGTTATCAGTGCGCATGTAAACACAGTGGGTCCACCAAAGTTAAATCAGTCCAAGAGGGATACCATAATGTAAAGCGCATAGAGCCTGCTGTTGAGCGGGGATAAGCGCTATACAAATTCTATTTATTATTATTATTATATCACCAACAAACACACTTCCTAGGATTGGCAACATGTGAGGTAGTGGTGAAGTGCGTGAAGATGAGATTCAAATTCATCAAAATCAAGTCAGGAATTTGGGATTTAGGAAGTGGCTATTCTCACCTCGAATAAATTTATACGAATCGACCTCTCAACCCGGGTGAGACTTGCCAGCGTTGGCTATTCTCACCGGTGTGAAACAAGACATGTTTTTCCTAATTTCTAAATATTGTCTATCCTATCGGTGTGGATGATCAACTTGGACAAAAACAAAGAAAAAAATAATGTTAGATCTAGCCAATAGCACAAAAGTCAAATCTAGATCTAGATCATAGATCAAGACTAATTTGAATGTCTTACACAAACAAAGATGCTATGGCTATTTCAATTTTCAAATCGAGCCGAACTACACTGGTCGGCATTTAGTTTTGCTCGGAAGTTCTCGATACTCCTTCCCTTCTTTTTCTCCCCCCCCCCCCACCCGCCCCCTCAGACTGCCTGCAGACAATATTGCACGCTTTCAACACAAGAGCGCTGGAACATTTGTTTACACTGACTGGTATCACAGTGAACACACACCTGGTGAGAACAGTCTAGCCCAAATAGGCTCGCCCTCTCGTCCGGAGTGATTCAGATTAGCCAGAGCCGATGCACTAAGCGGTGAACTCACATCAGGTGAGAATAGCCAAAAGGCTTGGGTGCTTTTTCGGTAGTTCCCACCCCCCTTATTTGAGCCTGACCTACATCTAGATTCTAGATCTATACGTTTGATTCTGGGTGAGCTAAGATATCAAACCTAACAACAGCAAAACATTAAATTGTGGTAAAATTCAGGGGGGCATGCCCCCCTGAGGCTGAAACCCCCCTTCCTAGACCTATTTTTGTTAGGTCAGGGGGGCAAGCCCCCCTGAAACCCCCCTACTCTTGGGGCTAAAACCCGTGAAGCGCTATTGCCCTCTCACCCCGCCTACAAGAACTGAAACTGCGCTCTAGATATGCCGACTATGTCTCTATGCTATTCTCACCCTAGTCTAGTGTGAGAATGCTATTCTCAGTGAGAATAGTTCAGGTGGCCGTTTTAATTTTTTAGGCGAAAAGTGGCTATTCTCACCCGCCCGGAAGTTCTCGCAAGATCTAGAGTCTAGAGATCTATTCTCACCCCGGGTGAGAATAGAGGTGGCCTTTTTAGGCTTTTGGAAATGCCCCTAAAAGGAAGAAACTGTTTGAAGTATGCTTAGTCTTCTATTCCGACTTCCTGCCAAAGCGTAGATTAAAAATGTAACAAATAAAATTACCATAAAACACCTTCAACCAACTCGTACAGTACTCTAGCGTCTGTGGATACCTTTCAAAACAGGAACCCAAAACCGCCACTCTTGATCCGGAAATTGAATTTGCGGCTACTACTCCGTTCGATATATAACTGTACTACCATCGGTATCGCTTTTCGGTTATATAAAATCGTGCTTATTGGACTTCCCTACTTCTCCAGTATTCAAACTGTTCCAAAAAAATAATGAAAATGATTTTCAGTGTCATTTACTTCTAGGCCTACTTTATTTAGAAAGTTTGTTTTTTTTCTGATTGTTACTCTTTTACAATACTTTCAGTTCCCTGGTTACAAACAAACAGTGTGGAATAGCACCCAAACGCTGACCCCGGAAGTACACAAATAGAGGTCTTCGGACTACGGACGCAGGCAAACTTTGAGAGCAAACAAACAGCTGACTGATGACTCCAACACTGTTTGACTCTTACTTCGTGTCCACTTGCTCAGAGGTAGTGGGTCTACTTCCCTTTTGTGCATTTTAGCTTTCGGAAATTGGAGCTGCTACTGTAACAGACTATTTGCAACAGTAAGAGTGGAGCCCGCTCCGCCCATTGACTGACTCATTCCTATGTAAATTGAACTGTCAATTGAAATTGAAGTCACAGCAGAAGAATAGAATGGAAAGAGCGATCCTCTTCTGTAGCAGTAAAACTAGATCTAGATCTAGATCTAGTATCTATACTAAACTAAACAAAAACAAAAGAAATTACCTCAATAACTGATTTTAATTTTAATACCATTATATCATATTTAACACCCCTGGGTCAAACTCAATTGCATTGCCAATGATTGCAGTTGAAAAGTGAATTACTGTCTCACTAGATCTAGAGATCTAAGACTATATAATATGACCTGTGACCTGTGACATCAGCAGCCTACCTCTATCTTATATACTTGTGTAGAGACCATGTGAATATCTATCATATCATGTCTGTACTGTAGCAATACTAAGTTTTTTGGCAAGCGCTATTTGCAACGCCGCGTTCTGAATAACTCCTGTGCTATTTGCAACGCCGCGTTCTGAATAGCTCCCATGCTATTTGAAATGCCAGTACTAGATCTAGATCTAGTCTAGTCTAGATCTAGAATCTAGATCTAGATCTAGATGTAGATCTAGATGTAGTAAATCTAGATCTAGCAATCGTTTCTACATGATAATATTGTAGTTCTGCCTGAATTGTGGAAGTTTTCTCAGTTTTTTGATAAACCTCCTAGGATTTGACTCCTTTTTTTATGACGTTGTCTTTCCGATCAATATTGGGTAGATCTAGATTAGATCTAACAATTGTTTCTGTCATTGTTTGCACAAAAGTAGACGTCTTGTTCGTTTCTCATAATCATCTGAGTTAGAGTTTGAGCAAGTTTAAGTCGAAAGACGCTTGGATAACAATAACAAGACGGTGCAACTCGAACTTTAAGTTAGGCCTAGAGAACGTATACAAGCTGTCTACTGTCTATGTTCTCTAAGTCTAATGTTCAGTGCTTCAAGCGTGGCATCGAATCCCGGTCCCGAAAGGATTTTTTTTTCCTTCTCCTGAGCCTAAAATAAAAAAAATAAAAAAATTAGACTCACAGACCAAGGAAAGCCACTACTGAACTTTAACCAGGCCTAAATTGGTAAAAGGAAAAGTATAGGCTATACTAAGGCCTACTTTGTATAGAGAGCACCTCTTGGGGACAAAACGAGAATGTGCATGCTTCATCACACTACATAAAAAAAACTACAAAGCAACAAGATATAATTTTGGGAACAATTTGTTGGTCAGTCGAGAAGAGGACAACAACAACAACAACAAAACAACAACAACAACAACAACAAAACAACGTCCAGGACCGGGATCGAACCCACGCTAAAAAAATAATGGTTTGACTTCAAGCGCAGACGCGCTGTCACTTCAGCCCTCAGAACTTCAGATAACGATGTGCAGATTGATTAAGCTTGATATTTTACACACGGTGACATGGCGTTTTATTTAGCACTGGCGCTAATCACAACGCGGCGTTTTATTTAGCACTGTTGCTAATCGCAACGCGGCGTTGCAAATAGGCACTTCCAAGTTTTTTTTAAAGTCCTGACACCAGGGGAGGTCTTCCCCTGACAAATTTTCAATGAATAGATCTACCGGTCCAAGATTCTCCTTTGAGAGAAGGCGGCTCTATTTCTCAGAATGTTCGGGAAAATAAACTTTAACTTTATTTCTCCGAACGGTTTCCGTTCTCGAGATTTATTGATAATAAGCGAATGGAGTGACCCGTGTGTGTGTGTGTGTGTCGTGGGGGGGGGGGGGGTCGTGGAGCAAATTTTTTTTTACGTGAAGGATTTTAGTTTTTGATGGGTGACTAAATTTGCAAAATAGGTTACTGCCAAGGTTGAGCAGTCTTGTTTTCTCGCAGTACCTTTTGAAGGTATTTTCAAATAAGGTATAGTCCGGGAACGTTGCCCCAACCACAACTGAAGTATCTGAATATTCAGACTTTAAAAATCTCTAGTTCTAAAAATTGAATTCGATGCAAAAAATGCTTCCTCCCAGTCCTTGCAGAATGGCGGAATGAAATTATGAAAGGATGACTCGTAAATCTCGCAAATAACCAAACAATCTTGAGATCAGAAACCGTTCAGAGAAATAGAGTTCAACTTTATTTTCCCAAACGTTCGGAGAAATAGTCACTTCATTGAGAGAAATTAAAAACTGGGGAAAATCATGGATTCCTAGGGTTAAGACATAGGCAAAGTAGTCCCAGTCGGCTGGTCCGGTATTCTTCAATCTTACCACAAACTTCTTTTTATTGAAATTCTATTACATATAAAATTATAATTTTTCAGCCTAACCTAGTCTATAACTATAACTTGGTGACTTGCCACTTGGCTTTATGTCAATTGAGAACGTCTTTAACTTTATTCTGAAGGAGGCCCAGTCTATCAGCGATAATGATGATCTGATCCGTAGGCCCTAGTCATAAGAAAGACTCCCTTACTTTTTACTCTGATGTGTAATTTCATTTATAAAAACAAAGTCTAAGAGGTGTGTTCTGTGTGTGAGCCGAATCAATCAAAGATAATGAATGTAGCATGACTCATCTGCAAAAAGTCCTGGAGTGGGTACCCTGCTACTAGTCACTGGATTTAAATTTAAAGAAATGTGAAACTATCAGAGAAAGGTAAATATACTGTTGTTCTCCAGAGCCTCTAGATTCTAGTTCATATAGACAGAGTGAGAAAAGAGACAAGACAATTGAATGTTTTAGTGTTACTTTCCTCATACTCTGATCATTTTTGTTTTGTTGTCTCCTGTACTATTAAGATAAAGGTATGCAACTGTTGCCAGTGTGTACTCTGATGGAGAGTGTGATGCAAGCAGTTTGTTAAAATGAGTATGATGTAGCAATGTCAGCCTATCTATTTCTTTGATTTTCTTTTAAATATATTTTTTTTCTTTCACATTAAAGTAGAAAGTGGTACGAATTTCTAAGATTAGAACGGCTTCACTACCTTTAGTCCTGTATTCTACAATGTTCTGTAAAAATAACAGAATCTAAGTCTCTCTAATTACTTATGGCACATGATATTTTCCATGGCTTCAACGTATTACAGTATTATTGTTTTTGTAAGTGTTTTACTGCGCTCGCAACTGCATAAGGTCATATATTGGGCACGTGGAACACATTAAACTTTTTCAGTTGGTAGGAAATTTTGAATTTTCCTCCTGTGGCGGCCGAAGCCTACTCTTATCGATTTTAGACCCCCAAATGATCTTTAACGTGTGCAACTTCACACGGGACCTCTGATTTTTTTCACCCTTGTCCGAGAAGGCTAGGTGTAGATCTTTCCTACCAGAAGGTCAGGGGTATGGCTGAAAGACAGCAGTAACAGTAGAGAAGCAGTAGAAAGAGTCAAGTACCCAGAGGAGAGGGCAAAGGAAGCGAGGAGTGAGGGCAGAAAGTGGAGACGAAAGCAGACGACAGAACATTGCTAGAGAGCAGGAAAGGAGGTGAAAGGAGACAATTTTAGAGAAGAAAATTTTTCAGTCGCTACCCAGATTCGAACCTGGGACCTTTGAATGAGATGCGAACACCTTAACCTCTATGCCACGAGAGCCCCCTTACAGTATTATTATGGCATACACACATGATGTATAAACTTTTAGTTGAATGAAATATTATTTTTTAAAGCTATGAACATCTTGATGAATAAAAAGTTAATTTGTAAATTTATTTCTAATTCTGTTGATTGTGAGCGTGCTTGTGCCATTCTTTGTTCTGGTTGGGGTTTTGTTTCGTTTTTTTAAATTGCTGATCGTTTGTTCAGATCTCTTTTTAAATTTGTTTCAGCTGGCTTCCTGTACTTGTCATTGGATTGACAATAGAAATGGATACTTTTTTAATCAATCGAAATTCCCCGCTTCGATCTGGTGCTCCTCCAAGACTGCGGCACAGGTCTCGCACATCTGAATCAGAATCATCACCTTTACATTTGAATGGAGAGGGGATTTCATCAAGCTCTGAAAAAGATGACCCAATGGAAAGTAGGAATGAAAATATTACTGAAGAACCTGAAGATGTGGACGAGCCTTTGGCACAGCTGCAAAGTAATTTTAACGATTTGAAATGCGTTCTATAAATCCAGATAGAGACTCATCTTGTTGATGTATCTCAAAGTAACATAAGATTTTGATAAGTATTGAAACTTTTAAAGTGTACTTTTGTTTATCTTGATACTCTTTGGACTTCTGTTCTAGATGCTGAACCTTGTAATAACATACAGGTCACAAGTACATTCTCAAAATGTGGCTAACTTGCTCTGCTAGAATTGGTCTCATTGACCATACATAGCTGAAGCCACAAGACAAGTCATCTTAACTTTTAATTCTTCAAATTTTTCTATTTCATTTGAGAAATATTCTCTTTTGTCGATGCACTGATCATTGTCAGACATTGACAGACGAATTATTATTATTATTTTTATTATTATTATTATTATTATTATTATTACATATTACAAGTAAATGTAAAAAGAATTTGTGTTAATATTTTTTTCTGATTTTTCATTACTTTTTAAGGTAAATCTATGTTGAGCTACTTCATGTCAGAACTGACAAAGGGCTACAAAATGGAAGCAGATGCCTCTGAGTTTGTCGAAAGAAGAGATCGGGTATACACATCTGTTAACACCCCCAAAAATCTGGAGAAGGTAATGTGGAAAACATGTTTAGTCATTTTAGTCTACTTGAATCAAAAGATTTTCATGAAATCATTTTTGTTATTTTTACTTGAAATATAGAGGGAAAAAGTTTAATCCTTAATCATATTTTTTTTAGGCGGAGCTGTTGGTCTGTATAAAGTTTTGAAAATGAGGGATGGTTGGTGCTCTGTACCTTGTCATCTTTGAAACTGAGTAGGGGAAAGTTCATGGTGTTGCCTATAGAAATAACAATATCGCAGTTGATATAGTCTGTTTTGTGAAAGTTTTATATTGGTGGTGTGTGTTTTTTGTGTTTTTTTCAGTTTTGTGCTTTCGGGTTCCTGCAGTGCATGGATGCCATACTGTACATGGTGACGTTTCTTCCTCTCAGGATACTTGTGGCCATTTTGCGAGTCCTTGTGTACCCCTTCATTGTGTTATTCAAAGGGTACGATATTTTGACACATTAGTAAATATGCTTAGATTTTGTTGTAATGCTCAAGAGAAACATTTATTTATATAACTAAACATCTGTAGCAATCCCATACTTTGATGTAACACTGTTTAGAAATTTACTACTTGAAAAGAGGAAAAGTGTGGATACATATATACTTTTAGCTTCTGTCAGTATCTGATCAATATAAGTTCATTCTTGTTAGTCTGTGGACTAATGTTTTATTTTATGCTTGTTTTGGGGGTTTTTAAAACTTTGCTGTGCACTGCTGAAAAGGGCCTGTAGTTAACTGGGATGTGTCTAGTAGTAATATAAGGACCATTCTTCCAGCGTTTATTAATTTTTTAACCATTGTATGGAAAAGGGAACTAGTTTCTACTTGTGCAAGAAGAAGAGAAAGTGATGGATAAGCTTCTTTGTTATTATGCCACACTGACTTCTGCAGTGTTTATTTGAATTCGTGCAGTTTTTTTTGTTAGAGATCAATGGCGGGCGGTTGGCGGGTGCTCTGGTGTGGTTTGCTCCTTCTTACCTATGTATCAAACATCTATTGTCCTTATCTCTCCTCCTTTTTTTGTTTGTTACTCTCTTGCAACACTTCTAATCTTCGGCACTTATATGACCTTATTGTGTTGCAAGTGCTGTAAAACTCCTACTAAAAAAAAAAGAGATCAATGAAAATTTTATTCCTTTCCCAGGAGATCACGAGCTTTGGATGCAGCACAGGTTTGTGATCTCCTGAAAGGTGTCATCCTGGTGGTCAGTTGTTTTGTGACCAGCTATATGGACATGTCCATGATCTACCACATCGTGAGGGGCCAGTCCATCATCAAGTTCTACGTCTTCTACAACATGCTGGATGTAAGTTCTTTTTTTTTCCCCTTGCCCATTTATATGAGATTGACGCCATCTGATTAGTAGAAAAAAGTGCATATGATTGTGTCCAATAGTGTATTACGTGCATACTTAGTATAACAAGTAATTGTAATAGCAGATAGAGGTTCCAGGATTATAGATGTAGGTCATTGATCTGAGAGCGGTGATGATTTTTAGATATAATGGTTGTGATGATTGATGATGAGGGATTGCGTTTAAGTAATGTTAACGTTAGTATTATCTTCCTCTGCTCCAATGAGTCACAAGGAACGTGGGAACCCTCTATCCCGTTCCCTACTGGAATCATCTTTACGGTCTGGATGTAAGTTCTTAACTTTTTATCTCCGAGGGGGGTATACCCACTACGTCAGGGCCCTTTTTTGGTACTAAATCTAAAAATGACAAAACGTCACTAAATAGGTCATTAAATCAAAACAAATGAACCTATTTTGATAGTTCTTCAGCTAATGAATGAACTCCCGGTAAAATAGACCTGTTTTCGACAATTGCCACATGGGTATAGAAAAATGTAAATCATGGTTTAATTTGTTTGTTCATCTTTCAGAATTGCTTCTTATGTCAAGTTTTATTCCAATTCATAATTTCGGGAGCACCGACTTCTGATGTGTACATCAGGTTTCACTCCAGAGCTTTCACAGCCTTTATTGTATTTTTTTTTTTTCCTGCTTAATATCTTCTCTTGTTCTGTGATGTTAATAACCAGGTAATGGACAAGCTGATCTCTGGCTTTGGACAGGATGTCCTGGACAGTCTCTACTGGACAGCTGTTGAGCCAAGAGGTCGCAAGAGAGAACATTTTGGCACTCTGTTTCATCTCATCTTTGCCATTGTATATGTTGGTATCCTTTTGTAATATCTCATTTGTGTATTGGAGAGTTAGATTGACCATTACAAATTGACCCTTGACGAAAAAATCGTAATGAGCTGAACTTACCTCTGATTTGTTTCTTGGGCTGAAATATGCTGTGCCTGTTAAGATGCTGTTAAGGGAAGATCCGGGTCGGCGATCCCTGAGAATATCGATAAAATTTTTCAAACTAGCCAACTTTTGTTTTTTTGCGGAAAAAACATCCTTTGACATCTGTTCTATCGGGTCATAACAACGAAACTGTTGAAAAAACAACCTAAATGACCCAAAAGGGCATTTGAAAAGTGTATATTGCACTAAAAGTCCTTTAAAAAATCCTGGGTTTTTTTGTTTTTCTCAAAATCTACTTTTTGACATATGTGACCTCCTTGGTGCAAGGATTTTTCAAAAACTACTGAAGCTAGAAGCTTCAAATTTGGCGTACACGTGCTTTAAGATCTATTCTGGAGATCTATGTGAGGAAATTGGGAAATATTGGTAACTTGTGGAAATATTCAATTTTATTTTTATATATACCCCAAAATTTCGTCAACTGACTCTCGGGGGTCCATTGAGTTTGAGCTCACTTTTTTAATTTTAAAGATAGGTCAAAATCCTCAGATAGATCCCCTGTCTATATAGGTTTGTACTTGTGTGCCAAATTTCAGGCTGTTGTTTCAATATTTTCTATGAAATTCTTCTGCACTAAGAGACTGGTTTGAAAATGCAAGATGGCCGCCACAGAGACCCATTTTTTTATAAAAATCAACAAATTCACCCTTAGTACATCCTATTTACCTATGAACTTCATGCACAATTGCATGAAAGTGAATAAAAGTCATTCGTTTAGAAAATTTTTCCAGGAGTGTACGTCTCCCCTTAAGGTCATTACACTTTTTTTCCAGAGTTTTTTGAGTGAAAGTATATATCGAAGTAGGATATTTTGTTTTGAATGTTAATACATCATATAGAAAGTCTTGTATTTTTTTCTCATTCTGTTTTGAAACTGGATGACCTGCTTGTTCCAAACTCTTCCTTTCAAAGTAGCTGTAGTTGAAGGAGAAGCAATTTTGCTAGTTATGTGAAGTTAATATTTTCTTTTGTAGTTTCTTCTTTTGTTTTTCCTTAACTGGAGTCAGTTGTTCACACAGTAATGATCCTGATGCAAGCAATTATCCTGAATGTTGCCTTCAACTCACACAATAAAAACCTCCTGACCATCATGATGTCCAATAACGTAAGTACTGCTTTCTGGAAATGTAGTGTTGTTTTTGTTGTTGTTGTTTCCGTCAATTCATCTGTCTTTAGGCTTTTGTCTTACAGCATGGTTTCATATCTTAGATACTGGTGGCTTTAATAAGTTACTCCCTATTGCAGTATAAGATGTGTAGATGTGTTAAACATTATTTTATGCATCACCTCTTTGCTATAAGTCTGGCATGCTGCATCTAATGTGAGTCAGCAGAAAGGGAATTTTTGTTTTTTTGTTTTTTTGTTAATTAAGAAGAGCGGTAAATTGGAGTTCCTGTGATATCCTTTATGTTCAAGTGACTATAATTTATAGTTTTGTATCTCTTCTTCCGTCAAGATCACACAATTCTACAGTAACTTCCTTGAGCAACAAGTCCACTTAAATTATTGTCTCCATCCCCAATGGGAAGTACTGTCTCATTTTTGTGGGTTTTTTTACAAGCTAAACATTTTTAAATTAAAACTTCCGAAAGAATCATTATAAACTCAGTATATTTGATAAAGATATTAATTGCTCAAAGACGTGTTCACTCGAGGACATTAAATTAATTAAAATATTAATTCATAGATATCTGAAAAGTAGGCAGCAGGTGATTGGAGGGTGCCACTGGTCGGCTGGGCTTCTTTGCTATTTGTCTCTGGTTTCTGAGACGAGATGATAAATGGAACTTACGTAGACGTAGTACAAATATTCAGATTTTTCATTTCCACCTACTTCTGTTCAGTATTAGTCTTTTCATCATCTCTTTACATGTGTTTTTACCACTCCTGTATAGCCATAGTGACAATAAAGTACTGTATAATCTTACCTTACCTTACCTTACCTTACCTTACCTTACCTTACCTTACCTTACCTTACCTTACCTTGCCTTACCGTACCTTGCCTTACCTTACCTTACCTTACCTTACCGTACCTTACCTTACCTTACCTTACCTTTCTTTTCCTTGCCTTGCCTTGCCTTGCCTTGCCTTACCTTACCTTACCTTACCTTACCTTACCTTACCTTACCTTACCTTACCTTACCTTACCTTACCTTTCTTTTCCTTGCCTTGCCTTACCTTACCTTACCTTACCTTACCTTACCTTACCTTACCTTACCTTACCTTACCTTACTGGCTTACCTTACTTTATCTTACCTTACCTTACCTGTCTTATCTGTTTCTAGAAAAAGGTGCTCGTTATTGCTCTAACTTGATGTAAAGTACAATTTCACGTTTTCTTTTGTCTTTTACAGTTTGTGGAGATCAAGGGCAACTTGTTCAAGCGACTGGACAAGAACAACCTGTGTCAAATCACATATGGCGACGTGAAGGAGAGGTTCCACTATCTGGTGCTCTTGCTCTTTGTCTTCATCAGGAACATGAAAGAACTCCAGTGGAACTGGGGTCAGTGAGCTTTTTTACTGAACTCTTTCACTTCCGGGGGTTTTTCCTTACCTGGACCGGGCCCTATCTGTGACCTACTTTCTGGTTCTGTGTACCGTCGGATAAATTTAAAAATTTTTAGTTCAATTTTCAATATGAGCCACATGTCTTATTTATGAAAATAAAAGGGAAATAATGACCTATCTCAACATGTTGCTAAAAACGATCATTCTTCAGCCTGAGATTTACCCACTGGGGCGGTGCCACTGACTGAACTGTCTTTAGGCCATTCCCAAAGAGGGGACATTTCTTGTTCTAATGCACCGTAGAATTGTAAATGGGCTGATCCAACAATGTCATGCTCATTACTATGCCTGAACTACAACGGAACTGCTGCCTTTTCTTTCCTAATCCTTACGATCGTCATTTTCCTTTAATTCTTTTGTATGTTTGTCACACTCTTGTGACCCGCTATTTCCGGAGTGCCTTGATAGTCGAAGCAGACTTTGTGCTGTTGAAGCTAGAGAGGTGAGCAGAGTAAGTCTGTTTCTCTGTAAGGGCTTTTCTATTGACATCCACCCCTTGGCGCTCATATGACCTTATGCAGTTGCGAGCGCCATAAAACCTCTACTAAAACAAACAAAACAGTCTGAGATTTCTAATTTGATTATTACAAAAGTATGTGTGGTTTTGAAGCTGGAATCACAGCTCGCGGAAGTGAAAGAGTTAAATGTTTCATCCCAAATTTCTCTTTTAAAATTGAGGTAGATCTAGTTCATGGTAGGATTTAAAGAAAACTTAGATTCCTTTCAAACAAGAATGATCTAAATCAGTTCTGCTACAATGAATATGCAGGTGGTTGGAGAGTGCAGCTGGTAGGTCTTACTTTTTTCCTTCCCTCAGTTGTTTCTATCTATCTGTCTTGTCTTTTCATGCTCTAAATAAAAGTCATAGTGTCAAGGCGCTTCTTAAAAAAAAAAACTGAACCGAATAGAGTATTATTATCTCATTAAGAGTTTCAGAAGTATGTGATTCCCACTGTCCTTTCTCTGTTTCTTCTTTTTTCATCTTTCTTTCATTTACCCTCTCTAATGGTTCCTTTGTACTGGAAAATTCATACCATCTGAGGTCAGAAGTCAATTTTAAACACTCATTGTGATTGGTTGGCAGGTACTCTGGTGTGGTTTGCTCTTTCTTTCCTATGAAACATCTATCGTCTTTATCTCCCCTCCTTCTATTTTGTGTTTGTTACTCTCTTGTAACACCTCTAATCTTCAGCACTTAAATTACCTTGTGTTGCAAGTGCCGTAAAACACTTACTAAAACTAAAACACTCATTGATAATGGTGTAGAGTTTCTTCGTACTGCTCCTGCTAAGCTGCAGATTTCTTGCTCTGTACAACGGAACCGATTTCTCATAACTTTTGAAAAATGCCAAGGCAATTGTATTTTCTGTATCTGCACCCAAATAATATTCATGGGCTGTGAGAAAACTGTGAGTATTCTTGTTGTAAAGCAGTTGTATTTATTAACTATTTCCAAATAGGTTGGTCTAATAATAATGATGTAGGCCCTACTAATTTTTGTTTTAACTTTAACTTTTCAGATCTTGCCTTCCCTATAATTCAAGACGTTGCTGTTGTTCTGCTTGTGGAAATGATTGTTGACTGGATCAAGCACGCCTTCATTACCAAATTTAATGAGCTGTCTGCCAGTGTGAGCTCTTACATAGTTTTTAGATTTTAGTGTATAGTTCTTTGCTGGGGTAAATGTGTACCACTTTTTTAAAGAGATTTTTAAGAGACTTGATTTATTTTAACTAAAAGAGATAAGAGATTCCTGGTTTTAGCCATTAGAATAAGCCACTTTTGTTCTTAACTTTGGTGTGCTTGCACTCATTATGGAAAAGGATTGCTGAGTTTTACATTACATGATTCAGTGAATACTATGTCTTATTATTAACTTTGTCACCTTGTAAGCTTCATATATGCTGATCAGCTCACCTGCTTTGCTTTGAGTGACATCAATTACTTTCTTTAGAATGGAACAGAAGTTGACTTTATTGCTCCTATGTTAACGTCCAAATTCTCGTGCCAATATTTACTCTTTTATGTGGATGGTAAAAAAAATGTTTCATTTTGGTCCTTTTGGTTTTTCTTTTTTCAGTCTTATGGTGATTTTGCCTTAGGTCTGGCTCAAGATATTGCCTCTAGTCAGCAGAAACATGTGAGTTTATAATGTGAAAAGAATGAATGGGGCTGTTTTTAGTTACAAACATGTGACATAGTTTGTTTATTCTTGTAGATGATATTCTGAAAAATAGTGATGTGTGAATTTTTACAAATAATTATTTGATGATGGTGATAAAATGATAAACATTTGAGTTACTTCTTTATGGTTTATTTTCAACTCTTCTTAAGGTCAGGAATTTGTAGAGACAGGCAAAACGTATCGGTGGCTAGGTGTAGGACTCTGACAAAAGCCACTATTCATTGTGTAATATAGCGTTGTTTGTCGGAGTCTTGTACCCAGCCATCGATATCCTTGACTCGAAACTCCTCACTTTCACAGAGACTGAAATTTAAAGCTAATTCATCATCATGCCTTAAAAAATTCACAAGTATGTGTTGAAGTATCGCGTGCAAAAGATGGTTTGATTGGTGACATGGTTAGTGTTTCATCTCCCTCCTTGACCATCAATGATTTATTTATAGCGGCACCAGCCATTTCATCTCCCACATATTGTGCTATGAGAAATATAATGCAGGCACGGGTTTGCAGCAAAGTCAAAGCAGCCTACTTCTTGTGTGATATGAATTGTGGGGATGAGGGTTTATTAACATATACAACAAAGTACAAAATTTCTCTTTTTTATTTAGATGGGAGAGTCAAAGAACTTTTGAAATTTCGTGGCTGATTAATGAACTTTTTTGTGTGTGTGTGTATTGCTGCTTTCAGGCATTTACCAACTTCAATGATCAAGTGTGCCGAAGAATGGGTTTCACTCCGATTCCTCTGATTTGCTTGTTGTTCATGGTGTGCACCAAGTCTTTCAACATCAGCGGCCCTCTGCCCTGGCTTCTGGTTTTCGTCTTTTACTTATGGTACATTTACTTTTTTACATATTACGCTCTTTTCCTTTCTTTGGCCTTGATGCTAGGAATAACCTTGTGAAATATTTACTTGGTCTAACACTAAAATGCAACTTAAAGTTTTGTGAATACCATAATTTGTTCATCCTTTTGACAAATGACAAAGATTTCAGAATCTCTGTCTAGTGAAGGTTCTGTGAATTGGTACTGTATTCTGTTTGCTTTTGAAAAAAAAATCAATTGTTTGAAGTCAGTGATTATTCAGGGAGGAAGGAAAAGGATTATATTTGTACAGTGATAACAAGGAAGTAGTTACACAAATGATACAGTCTTTTACATTGTTTGACTTCCTTTCTTGTCCAACCGAGTAGGGTTTTTTTTTTTCTCTGAACTGGTAAGTTCTTGTATGCCAGGTCCTGTACTAAATAATAATAATAACTAACATTTGTATAGCACATATCCCCGCTCAACAGCAAGCTCTATGCCCTTTACACTATATTATTACCCCAGCAGACCATAGAACACTCCGAAACATTCTCAGCTTCCCGGAAAGCATACAGTGCAAGCAGCTGATTAAGCCCTCAAACACTAACAAACTGACAAGATCTTTTGCTGTCTATAGCCATTCCCACCTGGGTGAAGTGAGGAAAATTCGTGTAAAGTGCCTTTCCCAAGGACACAACGTCGGACCCCTGACGGGATTCGAAACCTCGTCCTTACGGTTGCGAGTCCGAGAGCCTAACCACTGGGCCACCGACGCCACTAAATCAAGCATTCTTCATGTCTAGGGAATTCTGGGGGTCGGTGAACAGAATGTATATTCTTTTTGGCTAGTTTGGCATGTGGCTTTGTTGGTTATAGTCTTTTCCTTCTTTTTTTTTTCAGTTTGATATCAACGAAAGTTCTCAACAGCATTGTACTGCTGGGCTGGGCTCAGCGTCTTATTACTGAGAGGGATAAAAATGCCAAAGCTACGGGAACAGTTGTTGACTCACAGGTAACTACTGCCCAATGTACCAGCGTCTATAGCGTAATGGTTATGTTCTTTGCCATCGTACACAAAGGACATGAATGTGATTCCCAAGTTGGGAATTCTATTTTACTGAGTATGTATCATTCTGATGGGATACTATATCTCACTCAGCCTGGGTTGGCTCAGAGAGGTAGAGTTTAAGAAAATTGCTACCTAAATGGTTGAAAGTATATTGAATTTGATGTCATTGTTAAGTGTTGAATGTAGTAAGAGAAAGATCATGGTATCCAGTCATCCCTTTACAACTTCCTTATTTGCATCCAGGATTGATTTCAGAAGATAGTTTTTTATTTCAGGGAAGGTGGAGCACAGTGATCTCTCAGGCATGAGAAACAAAGCAAAGGGGAACAATTATGATTCAGATTTATGTAACAAATGAATAATAAAGTTCCATTCACATACCCTCAAAGTAACTTCCTCAACACATTGGTGGACCATTCCTTAAGTTAAGAAGTACTCTGTTGATGCCCAGTTCTCAGTTTTTTAAAGGACACAAATGCAGTGGAGAACAAATAGACTCCCTAAAAGTAAAACTTATTTTAAATATAGGAAATCGTCTGAATCCCACCAATTCAATTTCATAAAGCTTCTCTTGAATATATCGTGCAGAAGATGAACACTCATCTGGTCTGTGAATGTTTATTTTAAGAATTTTTCAAAATGAAAGAAAATGCTATCATCCACATGGGAATTTTTGTTTTACATCTGCTATCTGCGTCAAGTCACAATGATCAGAAATAATTCACCGCAGAGATATGTCATGCGTTTTGCATTGTTATACCCTTAAAACAAGACCAAGCTCAAAATTAATGTTGATTAAAAGAGAGGCTGTATACTTGTGACTGATTATTTACTTTTGAAACCTCAACTTTTTTTTTTCTGCTCCTAGGTTGTTTCCAAGAAAGAAGACAAAGGATCCGCCCCGAAAGTGAAGGCTGAAGTGCAGCCCAGAGCATCAGACGCGATGAACAATCAAAGTCGGCCATTTCCTGTTTCTTCCAGCGTTGCTGTGAATACTGAAACCTCTTTCAGTGCAGACCCACCAATACCGGGTCAAACGTCTCCAGCTTTCTCAGGCAGTTCATCTTCTCCTCACCATTTTGATGATGACAGTGGTCTTACCAGCAACGGAGCAACCCCGTACCATGTGCAGAACATCTCTGATGCTGTTCCCGACGAGTTCTCACCAGAGTTACCTCTGACTCGAGAATCTACTCCAGTCAAGTCTTACTCGCTGCAAGCTGTCCAAGAAAGTTCCACCCCCAAGGGTTCTAAGTCGTCAGTGCTAATGGATTTTCAACGGGATTTCTTTTCTCCAGATCTAGAGCTCTCGGCAGATAATAAGAAATCCTCATTCGAGTCAGAGTCATCTCACAGTACGCATCCACTTTCTGTTGAGTCTTTTTCACCAGTTTCACCAAAAAGCCTTGAAGACAATCTAACGTCGCAGGACAAAATACTCCCTTCTTCACAGAATTCATCACCTTTTTTGCAAGGGAACTTTCCTGTGACAAAAAATGTTTTAAATCCTGACGAAAGATTAACATGTGGTTACAATGGTGATTTTCAAGTCCCATACACTGGTTGGTCAGAGGAAAGTAATCTGCAACCTGACAGTGACAGTCCTAGCAGTGAGACAGCAGCCTCTCCTTGTAATGTTTTATCTGTCAGTGATAGCCCTTCTAGTTCCCTCCCTTGTTCACCGTCAAAGCAGCACCAGAATGAAGGGGACATGCCCTCTTCTGTTTTAGAAAACGCTGATGATAAAAAACAGATTTCAAGGGGCAAATCATTTGATTAGCAATATTTGTGTCTTGATGAAAATCATCAGGGTGCAATCTGATATTCACCGTTCGATAATTTTTTTAGACTTTAGTCAGTGATAGCCCTTCTAGTTCCCTCCCTTGTTCACCGTCAAAGCAGCACCAGAATGAAGGGGACATGCCCTCTTCTGTTTTAGAAAACGCTGATGATAAAAAACAGATTTCAAGGGGCAAATCATTTGATTAGCAATATTTGTGTCTTGATGAAAATCATCAGGGTGCAATCTGATATTCACCGTTCGATAATTTTTTTAGACTTTAGTTTGCATATATATATAGAGATAGAGATTTCTGATTGGCTACTCTTAAAGTGTTCATTTGTAGTTGTCCCCCCCCCCCCCCAGATGTAAGGTTAGAATAATTTAAAAGTTACACCCTTAGCTAACCAGTTCATTCCAGTTCAGTTTACATTCTGTCTCCTAGGGGCGTACGGTGTTGCAGTAGTTTAGGCACATTGTGCTAGCTGTCACATATTCCATTTGTTCTGATTGCCAAGTAACCTTTTGTAACTTGGTGTTTTAGAAAAAGGAGAATTTTAGTTTAGATTGAGTTTGATCTGTGTACTTATATTTTTTATTCCTGATGGGAAGAGTGAAGCAGTGGTCTGCGAGATTCTGTGGCTGGATGATATGGTTTTATACTGCTGTGTCTTTTTAAAAGTTGACAGGTTTTATTGTATTATGTAATTCGATTAGATCCCTGCCATTTACTTGCTCTCAGTCGTTCTAAAAGTGAAGTTGCTCTATGGTCCCATGATATAACCTACTTATAGATATCATGTGTTTGAATGTTGGCAATGACCATGAGTGCTCCAAGGGTTTAGGTTCAATACCACAGTGTTATTGTTGTTATCATTAATTAGACACCTCCTGCATGATCGGCTTCTTGTGGAGCGTAGACCACCAACAAGCTCTCTCCAGTAATCATGATCCAGGGCCAGTGGCTCCAGTTGTCGGGAGGAATGCCCGGTCCTCCCGACGGAGATAGGCTTTCACTATAATAATAAATAATAATAATATATAACATTTATACAGCGCATTTCCAAAAAAGTAGCTCAATGCGCTTTACATTAGAATACCCATTTTCAAAACCTTTCTTACTACTTCCTTTCTTCTCATGCAATATATATTTATGCACACACACACACACACACACACACACACACACACACACACTCTATTTTCATCCTGACATAGGAACAGAACAACGATAATGAAAAGTAACGTTAAAAGCTTATGAAGGATAGGCCTGTAGGAACAGAAAATGTTTAAGAAGTCTTTTGAAGCTATCAAGTGTTTTTATTTGTCTTAGTTTCATTGGTAATCTGTTCCACATAAATGGACCAAGATATGAGAAAGATCTCTCTCCATATGATTTGTATGATTTTACAGGTGTCACAAGTAGGGTGTTATCGTTTGATGATTTTAGGTTTCTCCCTGGCTTATATATACTGATAAGTTCTTGTAGATAAAAAGGAGCAGTTTTATTTACACATTTGAAACACATGACACAGATTTTAAATATTATTCTTTCTTTTACAAGGAGCCAATGCAGTTCTTTTAATAATGGAGTGACATGGTCTCGTTTTTTAGGTCTTGTTATCAGTCTAGCGGCATTGTTTTGAATTACTTGTAAACAATTCAAATATTTGTTGTTCAGACCTGCTAGGAGTGAGTTACTATAGTCTAATGTAGATAGGATAAGAGATGTTACCAGTGTTTTTGTGGTCTCTTCGTTTAAGTACTTTTGAACTAGGCCTATCCTTCTCAGCTGAAAGTAAAGGGATTTGGACAGAGATCCTACAAACGAGCCCATTGATAAGTGGTGGTCAATATATACACCAAGATTCTTGACAACTTCTTTACTAAATGTCATATGCCCATATACTACCCTAGGTTCTGACGCTCTGTGGCTGTCGCTCCATCCTCCCCCAGCTGTGGAATTTCTTTTACTGTTTCTTTAGTGATATTCTTTTTTACAGAGAAGAGTTGCCAGCCCTTCACCTGAACCGAAACTCTTCATTTCAAAACCAATGTACTTGTGAAGTTCACCCTGGGAACTTGGAAGTTCGCCAGGGGCTACCATCTTGAGTTATTCTTCATCGTTGATTTTGTCACCCTGAATGAGGGTATGAGCCACTGATAAACACTTTTCATTTTTCCCTGTCTTGGGATGACTTTTTGACATTATTCTATGTCTATTTTACAATATTGCGGGAGGCAATCTCTGCACTTTTGTGAAGTTGAAACTCAGGATATTTTTTTAATTAAAAAAAAAATGTCCACCCCCAGGGCAATGCTACTGACTGAAGTGTCTTTAGGCCATTCCCAAAGGGGGGGACATTAAACATGTTCTTATGCAGAGTAGAATTGTAAAAGGGCTGATTCATCAATGTCATGCTCATAACTGTGCCTGAGCTGCAACAGGGAACTGCTGCCTTTTCTTTCCTAATCATTACTATCATAATTTTTTCCTCTACTTCTTTTGTATGTTTGTCACACTCTTTGTGACCCGCTATTCCAGGGTGCCTTGATAGGCGAAGCAGACTTGATGCTGTTGAAGCTAGAGAGGTGAGCAGAGTAAGCCTGATTGCCAGTAATGACTTTTCTGTTGGAATCCACCCCTTGGCGCTCATATGACCGTATGCAGTTGCGAGCACCGTAAAAACTCTTACTAAAACAAACAAACAAAATGTCAAACTTTTTTTCTTCTCTTGTTTGTTATCATTTGTGTTTGAGATCACAATATTCTGCTTTTAATGTAAATGTTTGGGACTTTCGTAGGAATGTTTATTGAGCCAGCATTTTTTTTTTTCTGTTTCGTTATAATTTGTGTTTGAGATCACGATAGTCTACTCTTAATTGAATGAAACTGTGGATGATGTGTTCTCTACATTTTGACCTGGCTACCCTCCATTGTCCTTTCCACTCCCTCAGGGCAGTGCTACTGACTGAAGTGTCTTTAGGCCATTCTCAAAGGGGTGATATTAACATGTTCTTATGCATAGTAGAAATGTAAATGGCCTGATCAATCAATGTCTTGCTCATACTATGCCTGAACAACATAGGGGGAACTGCTGCTTTTTCTTTCCTCATCTTTACTATCGTCTTTATTCCTCTACTTTTTGTGCATGTTTATCACTCTCTTGTGAACTGCTATTTCCGGGGTACCTTGATAGTCAAAGCAGACTTTGTGCTGTTGAGCCTAAAGAGGTGAGCAGAGTAAGCCTGATTCCAATTCCACATTTGGACTTCTCTGTTGACATCCACCCCTTGGTTTACATATGACCTTATGCAGTTGCGAGCGCCGTGAAACCTTACTAAAACAAACACACTTGTCCTCTCCTGTCTTTGTACCACATTTAACTGTAGCCTGGCCAGTGTATCTAGAACTTGGTGTGTGCCATCTTCGCTCCCATTTCTTGTCAGACCATGCTTTTTCCCATACAATAATAATAATGTTGCCCCAACCCCCACCTGCCCTGCGTATTCATTTTATACTTATCCTAGCAGCAGGTATGAGAAATGATTCTTTGTTCCAGTGGATAAGGTTAATGTTGTCTTTCCTGTCTTCCCTTGGTCTCCTAGGCAGATGTAGAGTACACTAGAGATTGTATGACTGACCTGAGTTTTGAAGAGGTTTGCAAATAATATACTATTACTATTCTTTCACAGCAAATAATATACTGACTGTTACTATTTTTTCACAACAAATAATAATGTTTTAGCTGTATGGTCAGTTTTATTATGTCTTGTGGGAAGCTGAGAATGTTTCGGAGTGTTCTATGGTCTGCTGGGGTAATAATATAGTGTAAAACGCATAGAGCCTGCTGTTAAGCGGGGATATGCGCTATACAAATGCTATCTATTATCTATTATTATTATTATTTGTGATGATGGGGCATATGTTGCTAACTGCATCAATGTGTTTTTAAAAAATGCTGATAGCAGTTAGTAGCCTACAAGGATATGACTGATGTTCTGAACTTTACTGTTTCATTCAGTCATTGTTATCTTGTGTCTCCCTAGGTGATGCACAACTTCACTGTTGTTATGTCATTCTCTTACATCTTGTTACTGATCTCAGCAGGTGGTTGGAGGGTGCTACTGTGGTAGGTCTTTCTTCTTTGCTTTCCCTTTGTTGTTTCTGTCTGTCTGTCTTACCTTTTCCCCGCACTAAATTACCATTATTGTGTCGTGCTTCTCTTTACTCAAACAAATGAAATGACCTTTGCTTCCCTCTTTCTTTGACGACAACCCAACCGTTTGCTGTCTATTCCCAGATTCTGAATTTTTTTAAAAATCCAGATCTTGTTCCTCTTGTAAACATCTTTTTATCTTTATAACTGAGGTACCGTTAGACCTTTATTTCCTTCTCCTTCACAACAATTCTAATTGTCTTATCTGTCCCCGTCGTTTTATGCAAGAAAAACTATGAAATTATGTAAACTGAGCCCAAAAATGTGAAATTATACTATTCTGTTAATTTTAACAAAGAATGATTGAATAAAGGTAAATAATCGGAACTTATGCAAAAAAGGATAATATTTTGCTAAATTATGCGGGGTGCATAAAACCAGGGGGACAGTCTTATAAATAAAGTAGGTCATTTGTTAATTCTACCATCTTTCATCCTCTGAACGTTTCCCAGTCATCTGAGTCTCCACTGTGTGGGAACTCTTGTTTTGTTTTGTTTTTCAACCTCTGTGTTAGTGCTAGTAATCTTGTCTAGGCATGTAAATCCATAAATCTTTCTCTAAGGCAGCTCATTGATGTGAACGTGCAGTTTGTGGTCTCACTTGCTTACAGCAGCTTGCTACACCGTCATTGTAGTCTTGATGTTGATACTTCTGTCGTACCAAACTTTCTTTGAAGTTTTCTAATGACATACATAGAAGCTTGTGTCGATAGTGCCGTAAAACATCTACCCAATCAAACATAGAAGCTTTTGCCAATTCTGATATATTTTAGCTCCTGATCAAGTGCTTGCTTGCCGTTTGTAGGTTTACTAGATCATGGGTTTTTGAAGTGGTCTTGTAGATTTAGCTTTTAGTTTCAAGAAGTAAGTTCTGGTTGTTCTTTAAATTTTCTGGGTAGAAAACTTGGTTTTTTTTACAGCTGGCTGTATATAGAGAGATATATCGGACCATTTTTTGTAAAAGTTGTTGTTCGAACTTTTCTTTTCTTTCCGGTCACCCCCCCCCCCAGACACACACACAAGTTGGTGACAATTTTTGTAGTTTAATTGGAGTAAAGAGAAGCACTTCATCGTGATAGAATGGTTATTGTTAGTGCTGGGGCAAGGCGAGAAAGATAGACAGTAGATGGGATAGTAGAGAAGTAGGACACACTGTAGGTGCCTTACACCGACCCACCAACTGCTGTACTCTGTGACTTTTGTCTTTTTCTTCAATCTTTAAAGAAATTATATGCCATTATAGAAGTGTTATGCCCCCATCAACTCAATTTAGTTAATTTAGAAGGCAGGCTTCTTCCTGCCTGTCAGGATCAACCTGGGCTGGGACGGATACAGCATTTCAATCTTTGGGCATTGTAGAGATTCTTTGATCAGAGTGACAGGGCTAGATGTCCTCCAATGTTAATCTAGAAAATTGCTACCAACAAAAGGTTAGTCTAGATCTAATAGCAGAGCTTTTTGCTATATTATATTCACTAATGTCACATATGCCTTGTTTGAATCTCCTCTTTCCTGGAAAATTTGTTCAGGTTGGTGCTTGCATTTTTATCCGAGTTAATGGGTACCGGTAGTTGGAGGGTGCCATTGGTAGGTTCTACTTCTTTTCTTTTCCTGTTTTATTTGTATTTAAGTTGCTATTTACCATATATTAAATGGCCATTATTGTGTCTTTGTACTCGTTTTTTTTTTTTAACTCAAACTCAAAACTTCTCAAAGGACATAGTAATTATAAATTATTATACAGAGACTTTTATGAAGATTTTTTTTTTGTAAGCACACTCCACTACAGTAGGTTACAAATTCACTTTTCTTTTTTTTTCTTTTTCTCACAATAGTCGGTGGATATTTGTCTTCATCCTGGGAACTCTGTAAGGCTGTTCAGTATCTCCTCTGTCTATCCTCCCGGGTTTATTTGGTCTTTTCATTTTACTGCTTGTTATTGTTACCAGATGTTCAATTTGCTTGCATCCCTCATGATAATTGGATTGAGCTTGCTGTGTTTTTTATTGGATGTGATAAATTTTTAGAAATCTTTCAAATTTTTTTTGGTTTTTTGGTCAGTGGTCCGATGGAGGCCTAGGCCTGTGTGTTAGTTACCGGTACTAGTCTTTTTCATGTGAACAAATACTTCTGCAATGAGAGGTTCTGAGAGTGAGTGTCACTGAGACTGAGAGGGTGGATGAATCGACTAGACTCCTTGGAGTCAAGTGCTTGCTGTTACAAACACTTTAAGGCCTACCGGTTTTCTGATAATTTTTTCATCTTTAAGTTAGTTCTCTTGAAGTCGAAATCGTTTTCTGTGATTTAAGTCATATTATATTTCATGGGTTGTTGGGAGGGCATTACTGACAGGTTCTACATCTTTACTATCCCTCTATTGTATCGATGTTGCTTATTTCCGGCAATAAATGCTCATTGTTGTGTTAATGTGCTTCTCTTTTAATTAAGTCTTTACTTAAACTAAGCTAGTCATGTGTCATGCTCATCACCACCCCCCCCCCCCTCATAACTGACAAACACACTGGCTTCTCTTTGAAATATTATAGGTTTTGTTTATTCTGTAGTCGTGTAGAACATATTATAATCTGAATTTCAAAGTCTTCTTCTTGTTGTAAGTAGGCCTACTACTACTAGGTAGGCACGAAGAGCAAAGTGACCCTATGCTTGTGTTAATCTCTCACATCCGTACGCTGTTGGAGGGAAATATTTTGCTTACCCTCTGACTCTCTTTGTCATTATCTCTCTCTCTCCCTCTCACATGCTCACACTGACACTCCTGTTGCTACACACACACACACACACACACACACACACACACACACACACACACACACACACACACACACACACTTGTAATAAAACCATGTTTTAAACGTTTATGGAAAGTGGTTTTAGGAAGTCTCGTCAAAATGTTGCCATTAGTATGCAAGGTACAGAGAGAGAAAATAAGTGAGGAATTTAAAAACTTTGGTTGTGGTGATTGTAATGTTCATGCACATGTTTGATGTAATGTAAGCTTATTTTGAGATAAATGTAGTGTTTGAACAGTCCAAAAATATAATATTTTTATACTGCACTGCATGTCTGTCATTACAGTCTTGTGATGAAGGTTATTTTTAAATTTGTGTTCATTTTCATTTTTAGTGATATCATTATAAATCAGTGCTTCATGACTGTCAGTTCTTATATGTGCGAAACTGGATCTGCTCTGTAAGTGTAAGCAAGGCCTATAAAGTTATTGATTATAAATTTGCATTGGTCTTCTTCTAAAGGGCAGCCCGTCACTCAAAATGTTTTCCAAGTTTACTATACTATGAGTGAGAAGTCTCTTGTAGGCCTATACTATATGTTTTATAATTGAGGCTTGGGAACTGTAATAATAAATGCCTCTCTGTACAAAAAGGTTATCGAACTTCTGCCAAACCATTGTCATTGTTTTATTTTATTTGCTAAACTTTGTTCAGGGACCTTGTGAAAATGGTTCATCTTTTGCTTTTCCAGAGGCTGGTCTTGAGACTGCTCAGTTTCACTAGCTGACAAATAAAAATGAAAAAAAAAAAAGACTTTTATTTTTATTTTTTCCCTTTATTTATTTATATTAGAGCATACAGAATTCCTACTGCTTTTTATTTACCAGCCCTCCAGGCTTCAGGGCTTGCACAGCAATAGGCACTTCATCACAAAGGGCAACTGATTCACTCCTACGGGGAGAGCATCAGATTTTTTTAAATGGCTATAATATAATTAATAAATCCCCCCCCCCCCTACCACTTTTCAGACCGACATTCTGTTTTTGAAGGTTCGATTTTACTGATGGAAAGTTTTTTCTTCCTCTTTTTTTGGAAGGGGGAGGGGGGGTATCGAGTAAGCCTGCTTTTCTTCAGTTACTGTGGTATTCTTGTAACTGCAATCCCCTTGGGAAGCAGGCATTGGTTGCTGATAGGTGGCCAAACTGAATTTTCAGGGGAGGGGGGTCGGGAGAAAGGCTGTATACTTCAAGGTTAATGAAGACTTCTGGCTTTGCACAATTCTCAAAAATATCTTAAACTTAAAGCATAGAAGAAAACAGCTGAGAATCACAAAGATTAGAATAAAAAATTCCATAATGTTTATTCTTTAAAAAGTTTACAGTCTTCCAGTGTACATGTAATGGAATTTAAAGTGCAATATAACCAAGCTTCATGTTCTCAACACACAAAAGCAAGAAGCCATCAACACCCACACCATATCTCAAGGTTTACGTCAATATAAAAACATAGTATTCCTCGACTGTATAAGAAGCCTCTTCTGACCCATTTGTCCAACACCAGGAAGAGAGCTGGAGAAAAGTTCAGATCTCTCAAAGAATCACCATCGCACCAAGGCTTCATGAATTTAACACCATCATACACAGAACCATGAGCGGATAACACAAAAATTATCACTTTCACTTTCATAGATGCCAACTTTTCAAACAAAAAAGGAAACAGACTCCACACATGTGGAAGGCCCAAGATGATGGGCAGTGGCCAGGACCCCCCCATCCTTCACACACTTTCCTACATTCAATCATTCCATATTATGCAAGCCATTCGATAGACCTGCAGCGAAAGATTTCTCCAATTGACTTATAGTTTCGTTCACATTACTATACTCACAAATCCAGTCTTGAAAGTTCACAATTTTTTTTTCAGTATCAGCAAGTCCATAAGGAGCAATACCAGATGGCAGAAAATATGTAGGCCTATTGTCAGATATGAAAATGGATTTCTGTACTCAGAGACAAGATTTTCCAAAAAAATAATACACCATTCAATTCTTTTTAAAAATTCCTTTAAGGACCTATGGCTCTGTACATCTCTTGCTTGACAGCAAGAAGTATCAACATGCAACCCATAATTGCATTAAAAGCACGTAAGTATATTGCAGAAAGAACTGGTATTGTCAACATAAATTAACATAGTAAAAATTATTAACTGGTACACTGCTGGTATGTTTACTTTCCTTGTTCTGACAATGCAGCAACGAAGAAATTATACATGACAGTATTCAGAATAAAACAATATTCTTAGAATGTATTTAAATCAATATTTGCGCAGAATAATGGCACCAAAGAAAACCGTACCACTGGTCACAACAGGCTGAAAAAGGAAACAAGTGAGACTCATTGCAAAAACATTATTTAAACTCTGGAGTAGCTGGTACAATCTGGAAAAAAAACAACCAACGACGAAAAACACACACACATACAACCACTTTGCCAAGCTGGCCAGCAAAACATCAGTTTCTGTTTCCGAATTCCAATTCATACATTTTAACAATCCCCCTCCCCTCACTCAAGAACTCAAAAGCTAAGTAGGCTATCCTGTCCCATCATCTTTCTAATTCTATCTCCTCTTGGGTAGGGAAAATCAAAGAATCAACAAGTTTGTCATGTTCAAGAACTGGAACATTCTCTGTAAGCTGCTCATGAAACAACAACGCCACAGTTTTTGGAAGACACCCTGATTGATCACACTTGTTGAGGTATTGGTCGTAGTACCCTTTCCCTCGGCCAAGACGAGCTCCTTGTGTTGTGAATGCTAAGCCAGGCATGAAAATCAAATCCAGCCCACCTGTCGAAGAAAGCAATCAAGGAAAAACATTTTTCATTCACATGGCATATAAAGATGAGCAGATTTCATTTGAAAATATCAAAATTTCCACAGCCAAAGATATCACCGTATGTTTATTCCCCTTTATCATGCACTATAAGATTCTAAGCAGAATTTATTCAACCAACAAAAAAAACCCCACTCTGCAAAGATGACAGTTGTGTAATAAAAGTAAAAGATTCAAGTCACCGGCCCAGTAAACTAAAACTAAAACTTTTCTCACGAAACACTCTTTATGAAATACTTTTATTCAAACTTATTGTACACAATAATGCTGTGATATCCTCAGCCTCAAACAAAAAAAATGCATATTATATTAAAAACCAGTAGCCTATGTAAAATGCAAGGGACTATTAGGCCCTCTTTTTCTGAAATAACGCCAAAACATTATTTAATAAGTTGTTGCATCAGTAGTAACCAAATACAGAACTATAAAATTAAAAGGTTGAATATTGACTTGCTAGAAGATAAACTGACAAAAAAATGTTAAAATTGGAGTAGTGAGCTTTAGAAATACCCAGTACTCTGTGTTATTTAGGATGCTAATCCCCAAGAATCTGACCTACTTTCTTTGCTACATTACATGTTACAGACTTAAAGATGGCATTGGAACAAGGTATCACAGCAGTAATGAATGTAAAATTTATAGACTAGTCAACCTCAAAATTACAGAATGTACGAAAAAGTTATTGAGTCTTTACTGTAAGACTTAAACTAAACAGCAGGAAGGCTATGTTTCAAAACAGACCACTTATTAAGTCAAGTAAAAAATGTACATTTGTGATCAAAGAGATCATTAAAAAACCTACAGGTTTTGCATAAAAAGTAAAAGTTGAATCATACACACCTGACATATTTGCATCCTGCGATGCATCAAATTCTTCAGACTGCTTGATTCCCCATTTCGTTACTGGCAATCTCTCATAGGCATCCCATGATTTCAACGGTACCATTATCATTTCTGCTCCTTTGTAATTAGGGATGAAACATTCTTTACCATCTCTGAACATGGACTTCAAAATATTCAAAGTGCAGACCTCTTCTTTCATTGGAAGATAAATCGATATACGTTTACTCTGTGCATAGACTTCTGATGACAAGACCTGAAGGAAACAGTTGGCATTATGAAGAGAACACACATACAAATGAAAATACATATGTATGAAGAAAGATACATGTAACAATAAAAAATGTTTGTTACTCTTACAGTTACACACTGGCACTCTTGTTGTGTTTTATAACTCAAAAGTGTCAACATATATATAAATGTTTCCATAATTCACCAAACCCCTATTATTATAACTGACCCTGGGTGACAAGAGTCTAATTCAAATGTGTTTGAGTGTAGGCATGTAGTGATTTTTATTGGACAATGAAATACAAGCCCATTTAATGATGGATTTCCAGAATTGTTTTTAAGTTTTAGACAGAACACTAAAACAGAATAATAAGTGAGGGTTTTTCCCCTAGAAAACCTTCATCTTATCCAAGTTCAGTCATTACTGTCCCCAAGGTTCCCCTTTCCAATTTTCAATAAACAGGAATATCAAATTCTGTGCTATTCAATAACAGAATGAGAAGCTACAAAACAGATAGCATAAAATTTCAGAAGATTATTTTTTTTAAAAACAACCACAACATGATAAAGTTAAAGCTATACTGCGTATGGCTTGCCTTTCGTAAGATGATCAATGACTGCACACTTTTCTCATGGTCTGTCAGGCGAGCAAGTCTCTGTTTCATTTCCTTTCGCAGGACAGCTTTGGTTTGCTGAATGGTCTGAGACATGCTTCTTTTCACGGTTCTCCCTAAAAATGACAAAGCAATAGAAAGTAAAGGTGAGGAGAGCTAGTTAAACCATAAGTTATAAGAGTAATAAAAATGGAATGTCTGGATAAAATTGTATGCTTTGGCTTTGTGGGAAGTACATCTGCTACAGACTACAGGCCCACAAATTGGCAACGGGTGGTAGCTGAGGTGATGTAATTATAAGCATTAAAATTAGAATAATTCAAAAGGCCTAATAATAGTAGTACATGTAGTAGGTTCATAAAAGTGCAGTTGTAGTGGTGGTGGTGTGAGTAGTGGCTGTAGTAGTAGTTTTTTGTTGTAGTAGTAGTTTTTTGTTGTAGTAGTAGTTTTTTGTTGTAGTAGTAGTGGTAGTAGTGGTGGCAGAGTGAGAGAGTGCTGGCAAAAGAAGAGACAGTAAGTTAAGTTCAGTAACAATATTAGAATATCTACATATGTAAGTGCCCAATCAAAAACAGCAAGCTCACGACAGAACTTTCTTTTGAATACCGGTATGCCTATTTCATACACAACCATCATTTTTTGACAGGGTAGCAAAGAGATAAAAAGTAAAAGCGAGACCTTGAGTCTAGGAGTCTAGGGTCGGGCGAGTTGGTTGTTGCAACTTGCCAGAGCCAGAGCGTGACTGAGAGCCAGAGGCCAGCTGACTGAAGAGAGTGAGACTGTGTGTGAGAGGGAGAAAATGAACAGCTGACTGGCTCTACTGGTAATGCTGGTTGGTGGCTGGAAAGTTTGAAGTTTGAAGCAGTTATAGCAGTTGTAAAATGAGCACGAGGAGTGAACCGGAAATAAAAGTGCTGCAGTGCGTTTGTATCGTGACCTTATAAATCATGGCGTCTGAGCCGTCCCCTGACCGCTGTGAACAGTGAACCATTTACAGAACGGCTCCTTACAGAACTTAGAATCTAGAGTCTATTTCTTTAAAGTCTTCGATTATGGCGTCCAGTGTACGAGCCATAGTTGGCCTTTCATTTAGGAGCAGCTGTTTATCGAGAATTAATGTGCCTACTGTACAGTCTGTTCGCTATCGTAAACCTCGCTGGCTTCCTATTGCTGCGTCCAAGGAGTTTTATGTACGAAAACCAACTCCTATCGACCCTGAAGAGCATGAAGAACTGGAGAGTAGATACAAGCACTACCGGGCCACCGTAAGAGGCATCAGGTTAGACTTGCATTCTTACGTTAGTGCAGTGATTGACGTGTCTCCTGTTACTGTTTATAATTTTATATGTTTAGACCAAAAAATGTAAACAAAACTAATTTATGACAGTTTCACGGCGGGCTGCACTGTGACGAAGTTAGATCTACTGCCGCAAAAGGGGGTGGGCTGGATCTAGTAGTGTTCATTCTTTATTATGTAGACCTATTATACGCTAAACTCAGGCCTTGTATGTGTCATGACACTGTAGAATCAGACGCCCGTTTTAAATCATGTGGATGTTACTGGGGTAAATTTCTACTTTCACTCCAGCTCCGGCACACAGATTCACTGCTTTGTAGGTCAAACTGCTGTATTTTTTACATGAAGCTGCAGCGAGCACCTAGCACATCTCTGTGATTGGCCCAAATAATGAAATAATTTATTAAAATGACGTATTTCAGACATGCATCTATTTTTTCAAATCGTCTTCCAGTAGAATAAAGAGGGAATAAAACAGGGATTTTTAATCATTTCATGTTTGCTGAACTTCGTGTTAAATGGCTTCCTGCTTAACAAAGTTAACTATGTTAAAAAATGTAAGTTTCATTGGAAGAGTTTTTTTAGGTTCTTGTCGCACAACCACTTTTAATGTCTTTGGTCCTCATTATTTTGTCCTTCGTTGTGGTCCTATGCATTCTTTCTGTAGATCTAGTGGTAAAAAAATTGTTTTGTTCCTCCAGACATTATTTACGTCAAGAACTGTCTAAAAAGACTGTAACAACCAAAGAAAAGCAAGAGTTGGATGAAGCTGCAGAATTTGCATGGATGGAGGAGGAAGTCAAGAAGTGGAATCAGATGCTGGCTACATCAAGGTAATTTCATAAAAAGTTTGCTGTAAGCAAGTTGTATAATTTTTACACTCTCTTAGAATGGCGTAAATTCAACCATGTGGATAGTTTTAACTCACTAGAAACGTTTCGCGCTGCATTTGCGAGCACCAATATTTTCCCGAGAGGTAGTTCACTCACTCCCTGCGAGCATAAGTTTCCCATTATTTCCTCAGTAAAGTATGCTCGCAAACGTCTCTTTCTGTGCAGCTGACCTTTGTTGTCGCATGTTTGTCAGTACAATGGCAGCACGTTTAGTTTAAGTAAGAGTTTTGCAGCACTTGCAAAACAATAAGGTCATATAAATGCCGAAGATTAGGTGTTACAAGAGAGTAACAAACACTAAAAAAAAGATCAGGACGAGAGATGTTTGATAGGAAAGAAGGAGCAAACCCCACCAGAGCATCTGCCAACCACCAACTTGGCAGCATGAAAAGCAAACATTTTTCAAGTGCTTGACGACTTTGACAGTTCAGAAAATTCTGATTATGATATTTCAGACCATGGGGATCCTGATTTCAATGTAAGGGAGCATCAAAGCACTGATTCTGATGGAGAATGTTCTAGATCTAGACAAGGCTTTCTAATGCAATATTCCGCTTTGTCTGGAACCCTGGGTTTTTTTCACACTGAAGTGGATTGCACAGCTAATACATGAGGATTACCAATATCGATTACCTTCCTATTCATGAGTTTGAACTTTTTATTCATTTTGAAACCCAAAACACAACAAAAGACACACAAGGTTGATTTTTTGGGGTGTTTTGTTGGGTTTGTTGTTTTTTACTCAAGACATTACATCAAAAAATTTGGCAAGCAGCAAATTTTAGCACATCTTCAAAAAATCATTTCTAAAAATGCTATAAAAGATATTGTACTATTAGGCATGTTTAGATCTGTTATGTGTGTAAAAATGGGGGTTGTATGTCTTTGGGAAGGGTGTTGTTTGAAATATTGAAATACCCCCAAAATGCCAGTCTCCAGTGCGTGTAAACTGGAAAAAGGCAGAGTCGCCAGTGAGTTAAGAGATAAAAGCCTCATTTGAAGTTGTGAATCTAAGTCTGTTTTCAGCTGTCTTCATTTTTTTCTCCTTTGAGTGATGTTGAATGTTTTGGAAAATGCAGCTGTTCAACAAACACTTAACAACTGACTTGAGCTGTTTTGTCAACTCTTTTTACTACCTTATTTCTTCTATCATGCACACAATGACATTGTCACATCATTGTTTTCTTTCTCATAGTAGCATTCTACTAGTGGCACTCTAATTAAGCTCGTCAGTTTTTCTTTTGATTTTGAATTGAAAGATAGAAAGTGCATTTGTACGATTACAATTACATCTTGTATTTATGCAAAGAAAATTTAAAAGACGGAATATACAAATTGGATTGCACTCTGGCAGTTTGTCTTATAAAAGCTGCTCTGTAGGGAAAATGGTTTCCTGAAGATTCTGCTGTAGATATTTGCCTTGGGTCATTATCACATTCTACTGTCTGGCAAGTTTTTTGACTGCTCTGCTTTTTCAATTTGTGACGTGACAGGGAACAAAGACAATCTGAAGAAGAAAGACAGGAAGAAGAACGTCTCCAACATGTGATGCAGCAAAAAGCTGAGGCCAGACTGCAGAGAAGCCTTGAGGCGGAGAAAATCTTACAGCAAAATAAGGTATGTTTGTACTCTTTGAGTCTTTGAATTTTTTTCTTTCTTTTTTTTTTCTTGATTTTTACTTTTTTTTTTGGCTGTGCAGGGGAACAGCGATTGCTGATGTCATTTTACCAGGGAACAGCGACTAGCATTTTACTATATTTCTTTGTTACAATTTATCGTTGTGTAATCGCCTACATATCAACGAATACAGCTAGACCAGTTATGTTACATTTCGTCCTCGATTTTCAAGTTTAAAAAAGGGCTTCGTTGGATAAAAGACTGGCTTTAGAAAAGAAGTTTGTTCACCCACACTGCCGTTATGAGATTTTTTGTTTTGTATTGGTGCGTGTGCTGTTATGTTTTTTTTGGTTTTTAATCTCAAAATTTTTTGTTTTTAATCTCAAAGTTTTTAGTTCCATCTTGATTAAACTTAACTGTTTGCTAAACGATGTCCACAAACATTCGTTGGATCTGTAGGTCCCTACATCTCAATAAAGAGAATAACACTGTCTTTCCACCAAGTCTTCATACTGTACATCTGTGGAGTGTTGCTGTCAAAAGTTTGATCAATTTTGAACAAAGTTCTTTTGTACCAGTAATGAAGATTTTTTTCCTAATTCACACACTTTGGCTGGAAGAAATGTCTATGGTTTTAGTGGATAGCAATGGGAATATATATATAAGTTTGTGAGAATGACACATGTAGACTGTGGAATGGACATAAAGGGTGAATTTTGTACTGATTTCTAATGTTAGGTACTGTATTGAAACAGCTTTAACAATGCCTAGAGGACAGGAGCACTGCAATTTTTGGTGCTCAACCTTTTCTTGCCATGAAGAAAGGGAATCAGCATATATATATATATATTTCTACTTCCCCAACCCTTGAGACATACAACATCTGAGTCTAAATTTTAAAAATCTTTAAAGACACATTTAATGACATCCTTTTTAAGTCAGTAGATTCATGTTCAGTACAATGTTATGTAAATGTCTATGTATCCATTTATGTATTTTGTGAATTGCAGTGTATATATTATTTTATTCTCATTTCGTGACGATGTGTAATCGTGAGCGTGTGATAAGCAAGTAGATGTGTGTGTGTGTGTGTGTGTGTGTGTGTACGTGTGTGTGTGTGTGTGAATGTGTGTTTGTGTGTGTTTGGCATACATGTGTGCATGTTATGTATTCGTGAGTGTGTATGCGTGTGTTTGTGTGTGTGTATATGTATATGTGTGTGTGTTTGTGTGTATATGAGTGTGTGTGTGTGTGAGTGTGTGTGTGTGTCGCGTGCATGAATATTTTTCTTACATGCATTTATGTAAAGCGCCTAGAGCTGTGTTAACACGGGAGTGGGCGCTATAGAAATGATCTTCATTATTATTATTATTATTATTTATATTCTGACAAATTTGCAAAACATGTTTTGTTAGAACTTCTGCGTCAGTAATAGAGCTAACATACTTTGATCTACTACCATATTTTGATCTATTGTAAAATATGTTGGCTATTTGGTGATGATGAGACATGTATGGGTGTGACGTGATCATTTTGGCTCTACAGAGCATTCCCACATTTTAGTTTTTTTAGGGAATTTTCAAGACTCTCCACTCTACTGACTCAGTTTTATGGAACTGAGTATTATAAAATTCAAAAGTCACCTTTTTCTCTAAGAAACTTGACTTTAAACCCACCCTATATATAACAAACAAGACAGAAAAGAAGGAAATTCATGTGTGCTTCCAATTCTCTTAGTGTGTTATTTATGTTGTTCCATTTTCAAATTGTTTTCTCAGGCTTCTGCAGTAAATTTTGTTACAACTGAAAACCTTGAGGAAGAGATTGAAAAAATGCTGGACAGCAGAAGTGACTACAACTATGCGATCACAAAGACTGGGGACATTTTGCCAGGGGAAAATCCCGCTGTCTCGGAGAAAAGGGATCAACAAACTGTGAAGAAAGCAAACACTTGATGATTATTTCATACATTTTCGTTCTTTGTTTTTTGAAATGCTATGTGTGTCAGTTGTTTGACATGTATGAGAGTGATGTTGATAGTTTGAAATAAATGTGATGGAAATTTGTTTCTGTGTCTATTTATGTTTTGTTATAAGGGCAAAGTGTACTCCATCACAGAAATTTATTTGGGAGTTCCCTCTTGAAATTCTGGAAGTCTTGAATATATAACAGCCCTTGGTCTGAGTGAGAGATTCACTTTGTTACTATCTCTGTTTTGTCTATCTGTCTTGCTCTTTTCCAGCACTAAATAATATAAATTTATAGCGCATATCCACATTCTGCAGGATGCTCTCTGCTACTATTATTATTATCACCCCAGCAGAACTTAGTAGACTCAGAAACATTCTGGGCTTCCTGGGAAGCATACAGTGCAAGCTGTGAGTTACACGCACTCCTCAAACACTAAAAAACTGACAAGATCTTTCGCCATCTATAGCTGGGTACCCATTCCCACCTGAGTGAAGTGAGGAAAATTAAAGTGCCTTTCCCAAGGACACAACATCGGGCCCCTAACAGGATTTGAACCCTAAACCTTACAGTTGCGAGTCTGAGAGCCTAACCAGTAGGCCACCTATGCCTCAAATGGCTTATTGTGCTGAGGAGTGTCTCCTCTCGTTACTCATATATGAATACTGTCAAGTTACTATCTTAGTTCTATTTCTAATTTATAAAGTATCTTTTGGAACTTCCCCCTCATGATCACCTTATTTGGAAAATTCCTTGATAGATATATTTATTGTATGCGAGTCACAGATACTGCTGTGCATTCAGTGACCAGCAGGTGAAATAATTCCACAACTTGTGACTATAGATGATGTTGCCTTGTCTGCTGACTTTTCTCTTCTCTTTCCTGCTGAAACATTGCTCAAGACCTTGGATCATGTAATTTTAACAAGTGTGTCTTGTCTGCCTGCCACTTCTCACATGACAGCCTCTAGTATTATTGTTATTTATGGGTCTGATGCTCCCGCAAGCACAGTGTGAGTAGAGGGTTGAAGGGCGCCACTGTTGTGTCTGTCTGTCTGTCTTACATTTTTCTCAGCACTAAATTTATTTCACATTATTGGTGGGTGGTTGGTGAGTGCTCTAGTGTGGTTACCTTCTTCTTTTCTATGAAACATCTATCGTCCTTATCTACCCTTCTTCTTTTTTATGTTTGTTAATCTCTTGTAACACCTCTAATCTTCTGGCGCTTATATGACCTTATGCAGTTGCAAGCGCCGTAAAACCTCTACAAAAAAAAAACCCGCATTATTGTGTCGATTTGCTTCTCTTAACTCACACAAGCAAACGTAGTGAGTCTGTTTAACCCTATCTGTACGCCATGGGGTCATTTTCTACGCCCGGGGTTGTATTCTTCACATTTTAGAATACTTCTAGTGCGAAGATCTCTTTGAAACTTTTAGCATTCCTCAAAAAATCATTTTGACGGACTGCTAGCTATGCAAAGTGTATTGGATTAACCCTTAAAACCCTATACCGCTGGTAACCGCTGACGCCGTATTTTTCTGTACCGCTGGTAACCGCTGGTCGACTTTATCGTTTAATTCCCAGTGCTAGAAACAGGGGATGTAACTCCAGATGACTCTGTCACGAGCAGAAAGTACAGATAATGTCATGAGAGCAGTTCAACACCGAAAGTTTGGGAAATTTGCGAGTGTTTAAGAAAAATTAGTCACTTTTCGCTCCCAGGCCCTTCAGGCCACAACATTTTTGACATTTTTTAAAATCCTAACCAGACCCCAAAAATGATCTCCCAGTCGGATATATCGATAAATATGACAGTTGAAAACGATTGCAATGTTCCGCATAACATCGATGGTGATCTTGACGATAGTGGAATTGGCAGGGGATCACCATTAAAGCTACCAGAGGCTAGATCTACGGCTGGGTCTAATGATACTTTGACTGAAGTGGAGTCGGAGATCACACACAAGACTTAAATCATAGAGTTGGTCCTAAAAACCAGTGTTTTAACCTTTTCCCCTTTTGTTCAGACTGTGCATTCATACAAAAATAACATTTTCAAACTTCAGTAAAATCTAACAATTAAAGACACAATAATGAACCAACCTAATTTTTTCTAGTATCTCAATTTTAATTCAGGATTCTAGGGAGGTGTGAAAAAAAAGAATTCAGGGTTTTAAGGGTTAATGAGTAAATTTCCTTTTTGGAAAGTGGTGACACATAGTTCCCCACGTCGTATGGATACGATAGTACAGTGGAACTCGGATTCAACGAGGTCGTTGGGCCTGACCTAAAATCTCGTTGAATCCGAGTGTTCGTTATAGCAAACACGAGGTTTTGTGTAGATAATTACAGGCACTGAGCAAGTTATGTATAAAGAGAAGTCACAAGTAGTGCCTGAAATGCCTGCATATTATGAGCTGTGTAAAAAAAGACCGATTCGTTCAAATACACAAGCCTGTGTCATCTCGATTGTTTACCAAGAAAAAGTTGTGTTGCTGTGTAGAGCCGAGCATACGGCAACTTTTGATTCCATAGACCAGCGCACAATTCATTATACATGTAGATCTACGTCAAAACTAGCTTATTATTGTAATAATGATCAGTTGCCGAGGGAAAAAAAGACTGACGCGTTTGTATATATGCGACGTTCAACGCCCGGACCGCTAGTGCCCCCCTCCCCCTCCCCGACACGCACACACAGCCACACGTGTGCAGGCCGCCCATCCGACCCCGACACACGCCAGAGTAGACACGTACACTTGCCAACAACACACGTGTAGGTATTTAAAAAGGCCGCTGATTGGTCGCATGCAATCGGCTACGTGAATAATGGTTCATGATGCAGGTGCAATGGATGGTTTCTGGGAATAGATAAAGTTTGTTCTGGGAGAAAAATGAGCGACGCCATGTCTGCGGGGGCTGTTCACCCTGGAAGCGACCTCGTTGAATCCAAGCTCGCTGATTTAAGTGCTCGTTGAATGCGGGTTACTTTTATTGATTTTAAAGAAGGAAAAAAACAGGGAATCTATCTCATCTCGTTGAATCCGAGCTCGTTAAATCCGAGTTCCACTGTAAAACATGACGTTACGGAAAGGGTTAAGTAGTTGGACCTCAATTTTGCATCTATTTTAAATGGTTGGGACCCATGAAAATTCAAAACCAAAGTGCAAGAACAGCATGGTGGGATTCAAAGCATTGTGGCTGGCATTGCAAGCGAGTATGATTTTCACCATCTGAGCTCAAAGTCCTTTGAATGCTAGGGGAATCAGCATGTATAAAATACATGTGATGGTCTGTTCATAGGAATGTGCCAAGGCCTTGCCAATATAGATTATGTGTCAGTGTATGATATGTTTAGATACTTGGCCACATGTTAGTCATGCCACGTTAAATTGTCCCAACATTCGTTGCTGGAAAACATAATTGGATTTAATAGTTCAACTTTTAGTTTGTTAGTCTTTCCGGGTGAGGGGGGCTTATAAAAACTCTTTGCTCACCAGCAGAAAATGCAACTTTTCTACAAGTAAATTCATCACATTGAGCCTTAAAAAAATGAGACATACATCAATACAATTATAATAAGAACTTTAATATGCCAATTTTTTTTTCTTCATCTTGACAACTGGGGCAAGTAAGCACCCTGCAGTTACAATGTAATATATGTATTGGTGTCAAATGAGACAATAGACCAGTGCAAAAGAAAGATCAAAGAGATACGAAGAATACACCCACCCCCCCAAAAAAAAAAATTAGGAATGTGGTCTATTTTCATGAAATTTAAAACTGAATAATGCATCACCTAACTGCTGTACACCTGTACTTGGATGATAATAATAAAAATCAAGCTGCTGACGGGATTCGAACCCATGACTTTTACGTCAACAGAAATATGTTTACTGAGTGATCACCTGTGCTTGATTATAGTACAAGTCGTATAAACTATATAATGTAACAGACAAGCCAAAGGACTCTGGGTTGCTGGCAGATTACTGTAGTCTCTACACTACATTAATGCAAGCTGTAAAACAAATTCTTTGCTGTAAATTAGCCTGTCTAAAGGCAAGCTCGTTTCTCAAGCACTCATAGTTTTGCAAAACAATGAGGGAAAACTTGCAGTTTTAGACTTGTACTTGTAGGCACTCGTGTAAAGCATTTCTCATCAGGGTTATTCTAGAAAACAAGATATTTGGCATCAGACCTGCATGTACCATTATGTCTAGTACCATTCCTGTCCACCGTCGATGGGTACATTGTACATGTACCAACATATCTCTTTTGACAATCTACAACCAAGCATTTTTCTCTTCTCATGTCACACTCTTGCAACTTTCTCTTGCTTTGTTTGTAAAAATTTATCCAAAGGAGGTCATCATAAGAGTAATTAGATCTACGTGTATTTTCCTAAATAAGGAGAAGTGACAGTGTGACAGCAACATTTGGGAAAATCTAGGGAAGTGCCAATAAAAATGTCCTATATCATTTCCCTTGTGATAAGACTGCAGATCCATAGAATATCAATTTTTTATTTATTTGAAGAATTGATGGCAAATTATTCATAATTTCACATGGAGGGTCAAAGCCAGGTCTGAACTTTAACTAGAATTGCTCCTAAACCATTGAAAATAAAGGTAAACAACTCTACGGCCACTGGGTTGCTGTTGTGTGATGAAACAAAATGCGTTTTTTTAAATTTTCCCTGTAAAATATGCTCTGCTGGTGTTAGTCTGTCTTATCACAAGTCAAGTGCGACTGTATATTGAGCAGGTTCTACTACAACAATAAAACAACAGGATGAAACAAGCAACTAGATCAGAGTACGTGATGGGGCAGAGTGCAAGTGACACACAATTATTAGGCACAGATTGATTGTTTTAGTAAGAATTTTACGGCACTTGCAACAGAATAAGGTCATATATAGTGTCGAAGATTAGAGGGGTTACAAGAGAGTAACAAACACAAAAAAAAAGGAGGGGAGATAAAGACGATAGATGTTTGTTAGGAAAGAAGAAGCAAACCACACCAAAACACCCCCAACCACCCAAAGGCAGAGATTATTGTCTTGTAAAAAAAGAAAAGCAAGAACGGGTAGAATGCAATATCAAAACTGTATTAACACAGACAGTAGTGTAAATTCACAAGCTTCAACATTGTTAGTGAAAAATAGAAACATGTATTTTAAGTAAGAGATCTGTTTACTATACAGACAAAACATGATAAAAGGAGTCAAACTTACACACAGAATTAAACACCACTCAAATAATTTCAAAAATAGCTATGCATCTTTTTTTCCACCAGGTTCTGAAAGTGGAATGTAAATCACAAACTGAAACATGAACACATGTCATGTACATTTATAGTGTACAGCAACACCCATTCAAGAGAGAAATTACAAAACAAGAGTCATGGGGGGAGTTGGGATGACATTTTAAAATTATGCTCTGATCTTGTTTCTTTTAATAATGGATATTTTTAACTGTGTATGTGGGATTTTTGTTTTAATTCTATGCTTCTTCGCAACACAATATTAAGAGGCAGGACAGCAACAGAAGCCACATGACATGGGGAACTAAAAGTATGTCAGAGTGCACCACCGGACAGTCCACCATCTAGAACAAAGTAGAAAACGAGACAGGGTGCAAGAGACAGTGCTAGTGTCCAAAATGGGGCACGCTGAGAGTGAGGGTGACAGCTGCCAGTGTACATGACATTATGGCAAGGGGAAAATGCTGACACTTGTGAAGATGAAGATTAGCCCCATGAAACGAGGAAAGCAACTTAAGGCCGGAAATTCCAAAATATGTAACTAACTGGGCCCCCTTTCCATGAAAGGAATGATCGGTGCGTTAACATCAACTGAAAGTCATTGGCCTACTATATTTACACTCTACAGGAATGAAGCAATAAATCTTGAGAGAAAAGAGTGTGGAACAGTGGGCATGGCTAGTGAACGGAAACCTCACTTGTTTACAATGGCATCTTAGAAGATGGACTTTCCCAAGATTAGATCTAAACGAAACTAAAGAAAAACTGAAAATTAAACTACAGTGACTTCAGGCTCCTCAATGAAACTGAGCACTCTTTAAATGATTCTGAACCACCATTAATTTTGTCAAATTTGAAAATTAAGTGGTTCGCAAGTTCTAGGCGATGAAAGTGACGAATTTTCACAAATATAATATGTATAGATGATGCAAATACCAGTGTAGAGAGTTATCAGTTACAAAATCGGATCAATCAACTTACAATAATTCATCTGTGACAAAAATAAGGGTTTTTTTTCTTAGACCCTACTTAGTTTTGGATGTGGATGCATGTGGTGAGCGCAGATTAAGTATGTGATGTCTTCCAGCATTGCAAATGTGTATGTTTTATGAAGACAGTATTGGCAGTAATGATGAGTAATGGCAGTGTTAATGGCCAACGATGCTGAATCACCTTGACCCACAGTGGTAGATACCGATTAGTAAGGTAAAATAGGTTACATTTATCAAATATTTGCAGTACAGACTGCTTTGTCTCAGATTTGACAAATTTCTAGTTTTTGGAATAATAATAATAGTAAAAGTAAATAGCATTTGTATAGCGCATGTCCCCACTTGAAAGCAAGCTCTATGTGCTTTACACTATATAGTTACCCCAGCAGACTATAGAACACTCAGAAACATTCTCAGCTTCCCGGGAAGCATACAGTGCAAGCAGCTGGTTAAGCGCTCAAACACTAACAAACTGACAAGATCTTTCACTGTCTATAGCTGGGTACCCATTTTCGCCTGGGTGAAGTGGGGAAAATTCGTGTAAAGTGCCTTTCCCAAGGACACAACGTCGGGCCCTCGGCTTGAACCCCCGAACCCGCAACCTCACGATTACAAGTCCGGTAGCCTAACCACTAGGCCACCGACGCCACAATAAAAGAGTTATCTTCCATTTCAGTTTCAGAAAAAAGTTATAACTAAAGTCAGATACCAAAGCTGAGACAAACCAACAAATAAAAACATAAATTTATATCTCTACAAATTTTAGTTTCAACAAAATGAAATAAAACTTTTCTTTTTTTAGGCAGAACTAAATGATTCCTTCATATTCATACACATTTATCAAATAAGATGAAACTCAAATAGGTAGCCAAAAGGCCACACAAGAAATCTTAACTTTGACACCAATAAAGCTTAGGAGAACTGGGTTCCATTTTTTTCAAAAGTATATTTGAGTACCAAGTGTAAATCCTTGCTTTGCTTTAGTTTCCGAATAGTTAAGTAGGGCCTATCAATTTGAAAGGTAAAAACCTGCTCACAGTAACCCCACCTTCCAGTTTGTAATTTTAACAACATCAGAGAAACGACAGACAATCTTTGAAAATCTCAGGTATGTGACTTCATTCTGGTTGCCTTCATTTCACGACAAAACATTTTAAGATTTTAAGGTACATCAGTACAAGTGTATCAGCCATTAGCATCAGAAATGGAAAACACATGTTAAAAAATACAGCTCACTTCCTCCCCACCCTGTTGCTACATTGCTAAAAAGAGAGTAGATCAACAAACACAGCTCTGTTTCCTCAACAGAACTTGATCATAGATTCCCTGGTTTGTCCTTTTGCCTTAAGTGATTACCCGTAACGTTGACAAACAGACATGACAAGTGAACCAAGATATGTTCCACTGTTAACGACAGCAGAGCAGCTCTCATTCCCCCAACAGCAGACACAGAGACTGAGAGCACACACTTAGATCAGACACCACGAGGTGAAAACTGAAGCCTGGCTCAATCACAACAGCAATGCATTCTTTTGTTATAAGAATGCATCTATTATACTTACAAGAAAAGCTCATTCAACTATCTACAGTTAGTCAACTGTATAAATAAAACTTTGATCGGAAAAGATAAAAAAGAGGTAAAAAAGTTATATGTCCCGTATCAGAGTGCTGAGCAGTATAAGTTTCTCAAAGGGTCACAGACAAGTCGAGCTGTACAAAGAATGAAGTATGGAGATACAGAAGGTTCTGCCAGCACCAGCAAGAAACAAAAGGAAGGAAAACCTAAACCAAAAGAACTATTTCATTTTCCACTTCTGAGCCATACAAGAGAAACAGTAATATACCACAAAGCTTGAACAGAAGGTAAGAGCACTGAAGAACAAAAGTCAAGCTTAGTTTGGACTGGCAAAGGCAAGGGATGCACAAATGCGTAGTTTGGATTAGCAAAGGCAGGTGATGCACAGATGCTATCTTTGTTCTCAGGCAAGTCTGTTAAAAAGAAGTCAAAATCGAAAAAATGAACATGGGTTTTTGTGGACCTGAAATGGTATCTGATAGTGGACAAGAATGGTCTGTGGCAAATACTGTATGATGGCACTAAATTGAATCAGATAAAGCTGCTAGATTTTTTAAGGATCTTTTTCTTCAGTTCCAGCGGGTACTTCTTCGGAGGGTGTGGTCTTATACTTAGATAAGACTTTATCCAAGCGTGTGATGAACAAGTCCACGTCTGATTTAGTCATTCCAATGGCCCCTGCAGCAGTGAGGTAAGCACACGGGTAGTTGTCGTAGTGGGCGCCAAAGTTCTTGAAATGGTATCCACTCACTCGATTGTCTTTACCAGGTGCAACAACTCTGCAGGTGAGATAATGAGAAATCTTAAAATAAAAGGATATGGATACACAAATTTTCTCCATAATTCAAAGGTTTGGGGGGAGGGGGGGGAGGAGATAAAGACATGGTAAGAAACTGTAGACAAGTCAGGAAAAGATGTGACTCCTTTGCCGCCTTAGCAAAATAATCCTGGAAGCGTGGAAGGCAGGGTAGTAAAAGGACAGCGAGGAAGAGAAGACTGAGAAGAACTTGGAACAGGACAACAACAACTAGTTTTGTTCAGTTCTAAAAGGCATTGGTTTAAAGCCCTAAAAGTTTAAGATAAGCTTTTCCACTTGCTTGCTTCGTCTGCCTAAGTCAAATTATATATATATACATAATAAGTGCTGTTCAAATCATCTAATGTCAATTCTCTTCTTTGCTATTTTTCAAACGTGAAGTTTAGTTTTAGTAAGAGTTTTATGGCACTTGCAACACAATAAGGTCATATATAAGTGCCGAAGATTAGAAGTGTTACAATAGAGTAACAAAAGCAAAAAAAGGAGGAGAGATAAAGACGATAGATGTTCGATAGGAAAGAAGGAGCAAACCACACCACAGCACAGACAAACCACCCATCACAATGGAATTGGCAGACACTGACAACAGTGAAATATAAGAGCCATGCAGACCAGTCAAGAAGATTAAGTAGAACTTTTCTAACCCGTTTCTCTGGAGCTCACTGAGCACTCACCGCGTCCCAGAGACAAATCTTGTGAAGAGCATGGAACCAATCTGTGTGGCCTTCACTCCTGTGGGGTCGTCTTCAAGACTTAAGGTGATTCCTGCATGAGGGACACACAGTACTATAATTGTTCATTTTATTTTATGAAGAGTTTTACAGCACTCACAACTCTAATAGTTCACATAAGTGTTTACTGTACTTACGACCTTAGGGCATGCATTAAAATAACATTGAGTGTGTATCTAGCTTACGGTTATTATTGTTTATATTGCTGCTCATTTATATTATGCATGTGATTGTAAGCCTACTTGTGTGTGCATGTGTGTGCACGTTGTACGTGTGTGTGTGTGTGTGTGTGTGTGTGTGTGTGTGTATGTACTCGTGGTGGAACACCAAACCAATGTGCCAGGATCTGGACAATAAAGATGTATCTTATCTTATCTTATCTTAAGTGCTGAAGATCAGCGGTGTTACTTGAGAGTAACATTAAAAAAAAAAAAAAGGAGGACAGATAAGGACAGTACATGATTGACATGAAAGAGGGAGCAAACTACACCATACACCCACTATAACTGTCCAAGGGTTTGTAAAGATAGCCGGTACAATAACTTAGAGTGGTCTTGTCATTTCTTAACTAAAACCACTCAAAATGATACATGATGGCAACAAGGCTCTTACATTACACAAAGGGTTCTACAGAAACTGTTAAAGAAAGCTTCCAATTTGACAGGCTCAACTCACCAGGGATGAGAATGTGACAACAAAAACCAACTTTGCAATATTACAAATGAACGACTGTAAAAAAAAAAAAACGTATGTTTTAGAAAGGATCCCTGTCACGAAAGGCAATAGTTGGCTGAAAGCATTTTTATGCCAAGCAACTTGTATATTTATTTACTGATCCAAGACTCTGATGTCTTCAACAAGACAAACTCACCTAATGAGATTGGGTTGTTCTTTGTTTGTAAAGTACGTTCACCATGTCTAGCTGCACATTCTGACAGCGATGACGACAAATATGAGAACATTTGCTTGCGTTCATCGAGCAGTTTCTTGTATCCACTTGACCCCAAGGACAGCAGAGTGATGAGCAGGTCTAGAGATGGCGTTGCCGATGCTCTACCTGAAAGTACATGAAGGAAGATAATAATTATGATAACAGTTGCACTTATCATATAGCGCATATCACGCTCTACAGCATGCTCTAAGCGCTTTACAACCATTATTACTCCAGCGGGCCTTTAATCACACAGAAGTATTCTCAGCTTCCCAGGAACCATACAGTGCAAGCTACAGATTGCAGGCACTACAATAACACTAACAAACTGACAAGATCTTTCGCTGCCTATAGCTGGGTACCCATTCCTACCTAGGTGAAGTGAGGAAAATTCATATAAAGTGCTTTTCCCATGGGTACAACATCCAGTCCCTGACTGAATTTGAACCCATGATCTTGCGGTTGAGAGTCTGAAAGCCTAACCACTAGGCAATTGACGTCACTATATGCTAGGTACCTCATAATATACTGGAGCTCAGAGATCAGGAAAAAGCTGATATTGACGAGCAGTCTCTCAGCCAAACTACAGTAGAGAACAACTCATGATTAAGTCCCAATCCTTTCTCTATTGAAATTAGAAAGAGTTACCATTCAGAGACCAGTACTAAGCAAGAAGAAGCACCTGGATACTAAGAGAAGAGTTTTCTATCAGATGGACCACTCACAGTGATCAGACATACTGTAATTAACGAACGATGAGTCTCGGAAACATTCAAAATTTGTCCTTTTCTACCTTAACCTTTCAATATAAAGTTCTCTATATTAACATGTCAGAGTCCCATTTCTGCCTTGTCATATGAGCTGACAAGGTAATGTCCACTACATTGGTACAAATAAGTGGATAATGTCAAACTCACATAAAATAAAACAAAAATTCCAGTTCTATTTTTATGTTACTCTCCACGAAAAGGTAGGAGTAAACCACGATAAACATTAAAACAAACCACGATAAACATTAAAACAAACCACGATAAACATTAAAACAAACCACGATAAACATTAAAACAAATCTGCTTTAGGCAGGCTTGACTGATGTGACAATCACTCTTTGACCGTTACCTGGATACGACTTTCCAATTTCCTCAATAAACTTCTTGTCAAAACCAGCAATAATAGCTCCACCAACAGGAACCATGAAGTTTTTGTCTGTGCTTTGAACAAAAGCATCGACCCTCCCGACCCGAGCAGCTTGTTGAATCAAATGTGTGCACTTAGACGACTGTACTCCGTAAGCATTATTGATGACATGAGGAACCTCCTGTTGTTTGCACAGTTTTCCTACCTCTTCCAATCTGAAGAAACAAAAAAGTTATTATTGTTTTAAAACCACCTTTTATGCCAAGGCCCCTTATCATCCCTAAATTGTGGCGTAGACTAGATCAGATTTCCATACATATACATTACAAAAGCTGTGTAGAAAAGCTTCTGCTAGTTACAATTCAGGTTCAAGCCATTGAAGTTCGACAAATTTAGCCCAGAATAAGAAACATATTTCATAAATTAAATGCTAGTATTATTATTGCTGCAACCAATAGTATTAGAACTTACTCCTGTGTACATTATCTATAATTTCTAAACATACATGTATTAGAAACACGACATTTAAAGAAAAAATTTAGTCATTATAGTGGAAAAGCAGACAGACAATGACAGTTTTTCAATAGATAATGATAATTCCCATAGAGGTTTGAAAAAAAAAGAAAGGAAAAGAGCCCAAGACAGCACAATTGAACACAGAACGTGTTACCTGTCGGGCACTCTTGGGGTGAAGCAGCTGGTTGTGGTCATAACACACAAAACATTGTCGGCCCCGAGATCTTCGATCTTTTGTTTGATGGTTGCTACATCTGTTCTCAGTTCATCTCCCTCAAGGCAGTTCTCTATAATCACAGGCTCAAATCCTATGGTGAGGAAATAAATATGAAGTTAACTTTCAATGATGTCAATTATACAATCAAATAAGAATGAGAGTCAATCCATTGTTCTTACCTCCAAAACTAAATATTAAAAGATTACATTTATGCAGGCGCCCATGTGCTGTCCACAACAAAAACAAACGCAACTTCTTATTCAGAAATTTTGAGAGTACTAATAAAGATAATCATGCATTCGTGTTATAAATCAAGACCTAAATCCCCATTGACAGGAATATGTCGTACGTATCAGTATTCACCAGCATAAACTTACAAACATGTGTCCACGCTTACGATTTTAATTTACAAAATTCAGGAAATTTCTGGAAAGAACAATTCACAATAATGACACATGGAACCACACACTGATTGTTAACCAAGAGTAATCAGATTCAATGGATGTTCCAGTTTTATCAATATCTATTAGTGTTTAAGTGTCAGAAAGCAGATAGAGACAAAAGGATTCATGAAAAAAAGAGCAGACCAGATCAATGTATCAAGTAACCACGTTACAATACTCCTGGTGACTGGGCATTTAGCCGCAAGTCACAAACAACTGAAGAATGAGTGAACTTCCATCTGCTGGAATTTTCTGTATTACAGCTTCACGAAAGTACAAGTACAAAATAATCACGGAAAATGGAAACAGAATCTTGGGTGGGTCTCTAAGGGTACCTCTCAAACTTGCAAAATAACCAAACAGGTGAACCGAAAGGGGCTAAATGCTAGAATTTGTAACTATTAACAATAAATTCGTTAAGTGCTGAGCAATATCACAAAGTAGTGAGAGTACAGTACAGTTGTTCCCGTATCCGATGAGACAACTTCCTGGGCCTTTGACATATTGTAGTAGGATGGCCAGTTCCTTTCCACGCCGTCTTTACTTCCCCAACTCCGAATTCAGGTACCCATTCATTACTGCTGGGCAGGCAGGGATGAGAGGTGAAAAAAATTTGTCTTCAGAGACGAGCGCACTGACCCCTCCGCCACATGAAAGAATAATGAAAGAGACAATTACTTACCAGCCGTTACGATCGACTTAAAGCAAGACTTCTGATCAATCCGAGGCCACAAAACATACTTGGCCTTAGGTCTCCTTTGCTTTAATGTTAGCATACACAAAACAAGGGCCATTCCTGTTGCCATGGGAACCACAAAACACGAGCTGGTTGACTGGATGCCTGGGAACACAAAATCAAACATTCACCATCACAATGCCGGTATGTAAGTTTTTTGTCCTGTTTTATTTAAGATGCTGTGTGTCACAACATATTTTATGAAAGAACATTTAGATGACAAAAATGAAAATGTAAAAGCTCCTTCTGTTGATTTTAGATCCACTTTGCTTCAACAAAACCAAGTACAAATGTCACAGCAGCAAATATAAAAATATGTTTATTTTCAGATGAAAAATTTAAAGTCAGCACAAGCAAGGACATGTGCAGAGAAGTATTTTAACTGAAGTCATTAGCAGTCATCTCTTCAGGATCATCTGGTCCTTAATTATGTGACTTAGGCTGTACAACTTTGTCATCCACTGGCAATCAGATGGCTGAGATGTCAAAAAGATGTCAGAACCCTGGTGTCAAATGCTGTAGTATCCATCTAAGATCCCAGTGCTTGGGAATAAGGAAAAACAGGGGATCTTATGCAAATGGGATCTTAGCTAAATCGAACACAAAATCCGGATGACTTATGGTTAGACCCACAGTTGGTAAAATGATTTCCCCTTACTTTGGAATGAACTTACGTGACCTCTAGGTATTAGTAAGTGTGTTTTCAGAGGCAATATTATAAAAATACTAGAATTCGATTCACCAATTAGAATTTCAAAGAATGAAAGGCAGGCTGACTGCCTACAGATGACCATATCATGCAAAGGTGATTGGACAGTCCCTGAAGACTGGAAATTCAATCTGCACCAGCTATATTTTGTCGACATAGTTTCATGTCTGTTTTCTTATTCTTTACAAAAATCCACTACTTTTCCAATCCCAAGGTAAAGGGGGAATGAGCAGGTAATAACAACTATGTCAAAACCAAAATTTCTTATCTTACAGGAAAAAAACTCATACCACTCAATTTAATGGCATCCAAAACCAAGCTGTTGGTAAGTTTCATGAGAACACTGGAGCCAGCTGCTTTGGGCTGCACAGCAGTTATATCACCTGAACGTCCAATGCCATGGCCCAGTCTAGAAAGAAAACAAAATGGGAACCTATTACAAATTGTGCAACACTGAGCCCTCTGAACAAATCACACTTATTAAAAATCTAATAAATTTTTACTTTACCTGGAAAAAAGAAAGGCATTGAAAGAGACTGAGCTAATCAAAGAAAGGGACACCAATTATAAGCATGCTGGTTTACTTATGCAAATAAGCTTCAGACTTCCAACATTTGTTTTGTTTGTTAAAAGTTTTTATGGCACTTGCAACACAATAAGGCCATATAAAAGTGCCGAAGATTAGAGGTGTTACAAGAGAGTAATGAACACAAAAAAGGAGGAGAGATTAAAGGATGATAGATGTTTGATAGGAAAGAAGGAGCAGACCACACAAGAGCATCCACCAACCACCCACTTCCAACATTTATCAAACGGGTTGAAGTTTTAACCACACATTTTTATTTGTTTGATTTAATGACACAATAGAATTATTTCCAAACAGAATATTATCAATAAACAATATTTCATCCCCAGTTAAATTTTGCAGTGAAGGGTGTAAAGAAAGGCAGGCACGCTCTCTTTATAATTCTTGAAGTTTTTATTTAAGCAAAGATTTTTACCGTCTTGTTTTGACATTATATCACAGTCACATTTTCAATCACATATCAGATGATAAATCCTAATCTCTTTCACAAAATATGGTAACGCAACCTGTAATGTCTCTTTGCCACCAACTGTGAAGCAATCCGAGCCTCTCTTTCACCAACACCGCAGTTGCCGGGGAAGTTGTTGCTATCCATCACCGCCAGTTCTTGGAGAAACAGCTCTATCGTCTGATCGTCCCAGCCATCCTCTGGAATTTTTCTCTGAAAATGAATAATAATTTTTATATTGAATCCATATGACGCATTCATGTCAAGGGTATCAGAAATAGTTACCTGTTTCTACAACAATAAACAACCATCCAAGATTTATACCAAAACCAAAGTATCTTCTCTGTCATTGAAACAACTTCAAGAAAAGTAAGTGAAAAAGAATTTAAAAAATAGAACAGATGTCATGAACAAAAGTTTCCATATCACCGAGACAAAAAAAACCCCAAAACGATAGGTACATTTGATGATTTGTACTAAATAGCACTCCAAACTCACATGTTGCAACAAATGTTTGATTTTGTGTTCATGAGTATTCCTTGCTTGGGCACCTTGTAAGACATAATTTTCCGGAACCAGCTTGCAGCATAAATCTAACACCTCTTGATTCATGATGAGTGGATTCAAAACTGAAAGAAAAAAAGGAAGAATAAAAGTAGATCATGTTAAAAACTATAACATGACAAAAAATGTTATTCATTTGAAATGTGTGTTAACAAAATTAATAAGAATAAAAATAAATGGTTATATTCAACACATTGTTGCATAAACTTGTGTCTTTTCAAAAGCCTTCCCAGCCATGTTTATCTGCGTCATCTTGTAACTGGTCTTGACTTGCCGTTACCTTCTGTTGCTTATCCCCAGTTTCTATTCAACAATGTCTTTGTTTACGCCATGTCTCTCTTGTAGACATCTTTGTACAAAATATAGAATGAAGTCTGCTTTTAAACTGAAATCTGCCTCTACATTTTTTCGTTTTAGCCAAGGTTTTGGTCTAACGAGGTCACTCAGGGTTTTTATTTTCTTCCCTAAACCTCAGTTTTCTGGGGGAAGAGCCCATGCACAGTGGGACCAAAAATCACCTGTACAGTCAGCAAGCGTTGGTCAAAACCTCACAACTCCCAAGTGCTATCCTAGCCTCTCTGATCCAGGTACCGATATGTGTCAGTTTTACTTATCCACTGCCACCAGTGCTGGCACCTCATAGATTGTTTGACCTAAAAATAAAAACACTGGAGTGTCTCCTTAGTTCCCACACTTAGCCCCACCCATCAGGGTAATAAGTAGAATCAACCAATGCCACCCTCACCTGCATCTATCTTACAATGATTTGAGGAACTTTTTTGCTCCACTGATAAAATCAGGCTACAGGCATTGGTTAGATTAATTTCACACCTCTGGCTCCCAAGAAAGTTCCCTTGCTGGAGCGCTACTTGAGTACTTTCACAAGCAATGGTGAGATTTCACACCCCCATCCACACCGCCCTGACCAACTACATCGCTCAGGACTCGATTGCCCCCAAAATGCACCCCTTCCTTCCACTTTCGCTAGACAGCATGGTTTAAAGACTAGGGTCCGTGGAACCAAATTTTGGGAGTTTGTTTCAAATTAGGCTTCTTGAGCCAGCAAAGCATTTTCTGTCTTGGACAGGTTAAAACCCTTGAAAGGGAAGGAATTTCTCTTTCCATTTCCAGGTTGAGCAGGTTTCCGTTTTATAGAGAGGTAACTTTATAGGTTTCTGTTAAGGCAGGTTCAACTGTAATTGATAAAGCACACAAGAACCTGGGCCTTGTGGCCCAGTAGCATGATACACATTATAGAATCTAGTCTCAAGTTAAAGGACTTTAAGGCCAAGACTAAGAAGTCGCTCCAACATGTGATCATTCATCTGACTTTATGCTTACATTCTATTTTGTCATCTGATCTCACCCTCCTCTTCTAATCAGTACAAACTAATTTCATGAAGTACCGGTGAGTAGCCAGCC